GGAATACCTAGCCACATATGAGGTCATGGACCCTCCACGGCGATTGCGCAAAAAGCTATGAATCTTTCTAGGCAGAACTTATCGTGCCGCCCCCGATAAGAAATTCTCTGCCCGCTGTTGCGCCACGCCAAGACACTTCTATAGTGTATCTAGTGCATTGCACAAGCTTGTGACAAATCGTCGTAGTTAAGTATAAAAGCGTCATAAGATGTCATACAATGATTTTATGATGTCACAACTTGTCATTGCAGTTATGGGTAGAAGTGTTGGAGAAATTTGATCCCCGATGAAAATAGAGCGGTAGTTATAGATTTTTGATACTTTAATGCGTGATGATGATCATTGTACTTAAGGTATTATTTGTCCCACTATTCTTGCTGTTGGATTTAGAACAAATATACCTCTAGGATACACACCAAAGCCATAGTAAAATGAGTTCAGCAATTACTCAATTTCTCTCTTGAAATTTCATTTTAAATGTATTATCAAAGTTGTGTGTATAAAAAGAGAAAGAATGGAGTGTTACGAAAAAGAAGTCATTGTTTTGAACAGTTATGTTGAAAAATTTATGATTTGGCACTATTTATAGACAATCAATACATCTCTTGGGAATAAGTATCTTATTCCCACCATTACCACTTTTCATGACGAACCATTACCACTTTTTATGTCAACAATCATTTTTTTTCATAACCAAGAGTCATATATTTTCATTATAACAAACAATTTCAACAATTCCCCACTTAGTTTGTTATCTGCACTAATTTACATAAATTCATATTTACAAGAAAGTATATATATTAAGATTTGAATTTTCAATTAATGTAAATAATTCTATGAACGAAATTAGTGATTGATAAAACTTTGAACCATGATTCCATTTGTCAATTGAATTATCACACATATGAATTTATACACATTCGGTTAGAAATTTCCTATATCTTAGCACTTTTATGGCCTTGTGCTCCTCCTGCATTCATGAACCTTAACAAAAACAAAAGTTCATCCAACTTTTGTTAGAAGCGACACCACTTCTTATACTTATATGGGTAAAGTTTCTAAATTATTACTTGCCTTGCCAAAACCTTAAACTTCATTAAGAGTGTTTTCTTACACTCGTCCTCCTAGTTTTCCTTGAGTATGAACCTTGTACCCCAGTACTCAATCACTGTCAAGGTACAATAGCTTGTTGTTACCCATTGAACTCTGACAATTGGGTTTCCACTATGCTTGACTATTGTTAATTGGTCTAAAATCTATTCCTTTAGTTGTAGTGCTAATTAAACCTCTCGATAGTCCCTTAGTGAATAGATTAGCCAAGCTATTATTTGTCCGAACATATATTACTGAAATAATTCCGTTAGTAATTAATTGTTGAACATACTCATGTCGCAAGCCAATGTCTAGATTTCTTTATTGTATATTTAACTGTGTGCCTTAGACATTATTGTCTCTTTATCATAATGTAAAGATATGGCTGTCATTGGTTGTGGTCACAACTCTTTATCCCATAGCAAATTCTGCAGCCATTCAGCCTTGTTATTAGCCCTCGATAGTGCAATAAATCCATATTTATTCGTTGAATGGGTTATGCACGTTTGCTTCTTTGATGCCCATGAGACTTGCACCATTTGCAAGATTGAGAAAAGCTCGTCCAAATGTCGACTTGCTATCAGATTGTGCTAATTAACCAACTAGCATCTAAATATCCTTCTCCCTACTACTGGTTGTCTTGCATTAAATACACAATTGAGCTGCTCTGCTAATCAAGCGCTTCGTCTCAGGTGATTGCTTTTTTCCTTAATTGGCATAATAGAACACTATTTGACAAACAAGTCACTAACTATACATGAATGTTTGCTCTCCTATAACAGAGAAGTGAGCCATAAGTTTCAAACTTGTGTGAACTGGTTCAGGAGTTGTTAATAACTAATCTACAGTTCTGAAGCGTTTCTGATGAGAAGTTATAAACCTTTGTTCTCCGAAAGTTAGTAACTTAGGAGTGTCCTTTTCGTGCGATTTCAACGTTCCTCGATTGTCCTGCGATTCTTGTCAAGATCATGTCTTGCCTGTGCTGCGCTTCCGAGAAGGATCGAGAGGATCGATGAAGACACTTAGCATGAAGAAGGAACGGCCCTCGGTATATGCAAATGACCCATGATTCGGGTACAGCAGCAATGCGGAGCCCAAGCACCACTTGGTCTCGCGTCCGCTCTGGCTTCCCTCGCCGAGACCTGCCTCTCCATGCAGGGCCTCGCGCAGATCCACGCCCGCGCCCTTCGCTCCCACCTCCACGACCACCCCATGGTCCTCGCGAAGATCTTCCGCTTCGCGGCGGTGTCACCGTCCGGCGACTTGCGGTACGCGCACCGCCTGTTCGACCAAATTCCTCACCCGAACACGTTCTTCCACAACCTCCTCATTCGCGGGTACGCCAGTAGCTCGCGGCCTTGTGCCTCCGTCGACCTGTTCAATCAGATGAGGCGAAACGGGGTCGACCCAGATGGGCATTCCTTCACATTCCTGCTGAAAGCGCGGTCTAGAATGAAAGGGAGGAGCGATGATATCCATGGGCTTGTGGTGAGGCTTGGATTCTCTGGGTATCTGTTCGTCAAGAATGCTTTGATCCACATGTACGCGATGAGAGGTATGCCCGCAGGCGCTCGCAGAGTGTTCGACGAGACCTGGGCAGTCGATGTTGTTTCCTGGTCCGGCTTGGTGGTTGCTCACGTGAGAGCTGGGGAGCTGGAACTTGCGAGGGAGGTGTTCGACGTGATGCCTGAGAGAGACGTGGTTTCTTGGACTGCCTTGATTTCAGCATATTCGCAGGCAAGCCATTCGAGGGAGGCCCTGGAATTGTTCTTGGACATGAGGGAAGCAGGAGTGTGGCCGGATGAGGTCACTATGGTGAGTGTGATCGCCGCTTGTTCAAACTTGAAGGATGGCGAGACAGGGTTAGAGATCCACCGTTACATTGAGGAGAACGGGTTCGGGTGGATGGTTTCGCTTAGCAACGCGTTGATTCACATGTACGCGCAATGCGGATGCATGGAACGGGCATGGCAGGTGTTCAATGGCATGAGGCGGAGAAGTTTGATCACATGGAACTGCATGATCTTGGCCTGTGCAAACCATGGTGATGCAGAAGATGCTCTAGACTTGTTCCAACGTATGATTCAGTTCAATATGCAGCCTGACAAGGCGACGTTTCTGGCCCTTTTTGTTGCTTATGCACATAAAGGACTGGTCGATGAAGGGTACAGGCTATTTGGGCGTATGCAGAGGGATTACGGCATCGAAGCGGGTATCGAGCACTATGGATGCATGGTAGACATGTTAGGCCGGGCCGGAAGGTTAGAGGAAGCATATAACTTGATCATCGGCATGCCTATGCCGAGCAACGATGTCGTTTGGGGGTCTCTCCTGGCGGCATGCCGGACTTATCGTGACGTCGAGATGGGTGAGAGGGTGGTGCAGAAGCTATTGGAATTGAATCCTCGTAAAGGAGGTTATTATATTCTTCTTCGCGATATTTACATCGCTGCAGGCCGGACGGACGAAGCGAATGAGATGGAGCAAACTATGGCGGCCAATGGAGCTTTAAAGACTCCGGGATACAGTTGGTTGGGAGGATGAAGTCGCTCATGTTTAGTCGCGGGCAAGAAACGTCCTCACTAGCAATCAATCGAAGTCGGATTATCTTGCCCAAACTGTGTTGGAATATAGTGTTTTTTTTTTCTTTTGATAATTTAAAGGGTGGGAAAGGGCGACCATTGTAGCTAGCTCCTTTTGGCGTTATCATCACAGTTTCGCAACCGTTATAGAATTAGTTTGAGTCATAACTACTCAATCCATCCACAGATGTACAAACATGTCACTGCGACCCGCTGGCGTGCCATAAGTGTTGAAGATTAGTGTTAGACATAAGTTTGGTTTGCAACATCACTAAGGACATATTTTTGCGCCATTCACTACGATTAAAACTTGCATTTTACCTGATCCATGAGATTAGTAATATAAATACATACATGGGTGCAGTGTTTTCCATATTTGACGAATAAATGATCTAAGAGAAGTATTAGAAAAATTACACGTCATTTTACAAATAAATGAGCATTTAAAGATTCAAAAAATAAATTTTAGCAAATAAAGGAAAAAATATATTTTTGAACTAATTAGGCAATTTTTTATATTTCTTAAATGAATGCGACTAAGTGCATGATTAGTGGTGACTTTATGATTAAGCGTTTAATTATAGATCATTGTTACTATTTATATCTGAAATTACAAGTCAACAAGCACGCAAAACAAAATTAAAGGCTCATTATTTTAAATTTTCAATTTATCCATATATGATAAAATGATAAAATAATGATTATTAAATAAACAACCGAGCCCACCATCAAAATAAATAAATAAAAATTGTAGTATATTCCAAAAGGATCATCCAACATGACTGTGCATTTCTTATGGTTTGAGTATTGCCAAAAGATAATTAGTGATGATCCTCATCATACATTATGGTTTATATTTTTCCAACATTTTCTCGATCAAAAGGGTTACCTCCACATTTAACAAAAATCTAATTGGAAATACCCCCGCTTGAAATAGTTGCCGTCCGAAGACATACCAAACTCCAAACACAAATAAAGAACTTGAAGATTGAGAAAGTCCAAGTCAACATGCTCACGAGTTTGATGACAAGTGTTTTTTCCATCAATGTTTTGATGGCTGAACTATTGAAGTATTTCAAGTTTTCATGGAATAGGTGTCTAAGGTAAGAATCAATTTCACACCCAAACACAGGGACAAGTATTCATGGAATGGTGACAGAAGAGGGTAATTTTTCCTATTAACTGAGCCTGCTGATATGCACATCAGACACGCTCCTCTGTTCCATGCTATGTCGGTACCGTCTATTGGGCAAGGGAAAATGTGCTGTTCTCTGCAAGTTCCGTGTTGCCATATTTCACCGGCGAAAGCAGAGAGGTGAGAAAAGATTGAAAGTCCAATCAAAACTCGCAACTTTATTGTTGCTTGATTTACAAATTTTCGAGAAAGAATGAATATACTGAACAATATTATTGGTAACTGACAGAGCAAAGAGTTCTATAGTTCACTTCTGCATATCCTCGTGGGCACATTCATGGTATGTGTAGGGGCTCATGTCATTCCATGATAAACAGCACTTGATCTTCTTCTGCTGAGGAATGTGAAACTTGGGTTCTCTTGGAATAGTTGGGTTTTTCAATGACCTGCACAAGGGAGGAAATTCAATTGCAGGGTCAACCACTGTCCCAATCTACAGTGTCTTCAAAGAAAAGTAGCCGTTTGATCTGAGTAGAATTAACAGAAATTCTTTCCTTTCGAAACAAAAGATCTCATAACATAAGTCACCAAACTCATCTAATAATGTCTCACATAACCTTTTCAACAGTAAAGACGATCGATGCGAAATCATAAGAAGATAGCCACTTGAGCTGAATGGAGTCTGAAAAGGGAAAAAACAGAAGTGGAGTCCTAAGCTAAATTCAGTCAACTTATAACGCCACTGTTAGATTGATTAGTGTTTTAGTTTTTTATAAAAAGTTGGAACACCTATGAAGAACCTTCATCATTTCTTCAGTGTACAACTTTACCTCTTTGGGATGAAAGGCCTGTCGAAATATGGCATGGGTTGAGCCTTGGGCACGAGTTCTCTTCTCAGCCTTCTGATTTCTTCTTCTTCTGCCAACTATGAGAGAAAAAGAGAGCTGAGATTGATTTTGTTAATGAGAAAAGAAGTGAAACCAAGGCTTAATTCTTATCATACACTATGTACCTTTTGCTGCCTCTCCCTCTCCATCTTGTATTGCTCGATCAAGCTCATCTTTTCTGCTATCTGAAGAACACAGAGAGAGTACACAGAACATGATTGATGTTAGTTTTGCATTATCAAATATCTAAGGCATGAAAAGTGTGTCGACATTAAGGCAGGAGCACCTGGTGGTCAAACTCAGCTCGCTCTGCTGCCCGCATATCACTGTGTAGCTTCAGGTCGAGCGGCCTTGTATTCTCCTTTACGGGAGGTTTGATGAGATACTGAGAAAAAAAAAAAACAGCACACCGATGAAGAACAGTGGCCTAGAAATGTTCTTAGAGCTTGAAGCCTCAGAGCATAACAAGTTCTAAATGGATCTGGATTTACATATAAGGCAGTAAAATCATGCTTTCAAAGACCAGTTGCATAAAAAATCCCCAATGAACGATTCCCTTCTCTCAATGCTTGGTCTGAGAAGGCATGTTTGGCGCCCTATTCCCACAAGAGTACCATATGACAAAAATTAAACTGTTTTGCAGATTTTCTATGTAAAGATGAACCTCACCTCGGGTTCATCGGTCGTCCATGGCAGACCTTGCGCAACTGGTATCCTCAGTCTCTCTTCCTCAACCATAGTCTCTCGCATCTTCTTCATGAACTCCTCCTCTTTCATTCTTCCCCTTTGCTGCACAGTTATGACCAATAGCAAATCGCAGTCAGTCAGTTTGGCGGCCCTTCTATATGGTTTTGGCACATCAAGGTAATTTTCAGTTGCTTACCTCAGTTCTCAGCTGAAAAGGCTTTTGGCTGGTGACTCTCAGCTGTTTCTTCTTCCATCTACTTCCACCTAATGTCCCATATGATTCGAGGCTCTAAAATCACACACAAGAACACAAGATCAATACGTTGCCTAAACCAAATTATCAAGGAGAATTTCCAACCACGTTCGAACTAAAAACTAATAACAGAGGAAACTCCTTACGTTTCTACGGCTTCTCCGACCCCCATTAGAAGTTCTGCTCGAAACGCTAGAAGTCACAGACAAATCAACCCAATCAGAAGACAAAACTACAGAATAAATCCCAAAATAGGCCCAGAAAGATGTCCTCAACATAGAAAGCTCAGTATAACTGCGCTAGTGTTTAACAAACCTTCCTTGGCTGCTGTCCCACGAAGACGAAAGAGAAGCCTGCGAATCCAGGCCTAGATTCTCGGCTGTCAAGTGCAATTCCGACGGAGAGAAGGAAGACGAAGACACCTCTGTCTCCGGGGCCTTCGGGGGCGGCAATCCCGGCAGCGCCCAGCTCATCACCTTCTTCCTGCTCTGCTCCTCAGCCACCTCTATCTCGTCCTTCAAATCCGCCTCCTTCGGATTCGGTATCTTCAGGAGATTCTCGAATGCTTTAACCAGATGCATCACTCTCCCGCAGCCGCTCTCAGGCACACTCTTCCTCGCCTCTTCCATCAACTTGTCCCTCCTCCTCTTCACCGTGGAAACCCCGACTTGAACCGAAGCAGCACCAATCTCGCCCAGCTCACAAAATTCAAGATCCTCGAGCGGAGACGACCCATTTCCCTCAGTTTTCCCCTGAAACCCCTCCTCTTCATTCCCCAGGTCATGTATCATCAACCGATTCTCCATCTCTTCCCCCAATTCAATCAACTCACCGCCCTCGCGGCCCTTGCTCTTAAAGAACTCCTCCTGCGAAGCCCTCAAGCTCTCATAAGCCACGCAGAGACACTTCTTCCCGGCCTTCTCCTTGCACTTGCACGCCGCTGCCGCCCCCCTCGGCCCCACGGCCTCCCCTCTCCTGGCGTTCCTCCTCGCCCGGACGAACTTCCGATCCCGGATCCTGTTCCTGTTGGGGGAGCAGCAATTGCTCGCCGGATTCGGGTTCTTGGAGGCCGATTTCTGCGACTTGCCCGACTTGGCCGCCGCGGCAGGGGAACTGGCGGCCGCCGCCGCCGCCCTGGGGCCGGGGCTGGCGTGCGAGAGGTTGGGGTTCACGTTCTCGGACAGCTTCGTGGCCTCCTGCGACTGATGCTTCGACCTGGACGACGCCGCCCCCCTCGATTCCTTCGCCGGCGTCGTCGCCGACGAGCAACTCTTGTGGACCGAATCCATCGTCATCGACCACAACAGGAACGAAAGGATCGGCACGAAGAAATCGAATTCGGGATTTAGGGATTTACACAGAGAGAGAGATGAGAGAGAGAGAGATTTGGGTGAATTGATGATGCAGGAGGAGTTAATGAGAAGAGCGAGAGGGAAAGGAAAGGAAAGGAATGGAACGTTGAGGGTCTCTGTTCTGCGGGGCGCTCTTCGTAACGGCTAGTTTTTTTTTTTCGGAGTGGGAGCTGGGGCTCCCTTTTGGGACGTTGGATGATCGGTTCCAACTGCTGTGGGGTTCCCAGCCGTTGATCTGTGGGGGAGAGAGAGATCGGGATCTTAATTAGCCCCAATTAAAGAGAGAGAAAAAAAAAAGAAAAAGAGCCATCGTATATGATTAGCCAAAAGAATTCTGGGAGCCGATTTCAGATTTCGATTTGGGCCCAAAAAAGAAAAAAATTACGAGAAATATTTCTGCTTCACACATTTCTTTCATTCATGTCAATTGCCTAAGTGTCACGATGATACGATTTATTTTCTAATATAGCTCACAAGTGAAAAATTATTTGAATATTCGAATTGTGTTGTACTCGAAATAAATAATCATTCGTCTCTTTTTGTGGAAAATGTCATATTCATACTGACAAAAAAGAAATGATGCTAGTTTTCGCTTTCGACCATTCGACTATTATTTTCGAGGGAGAAAAGAGGGCACAAGGTGAGAATTGCTATCCCCGGTAAAGATGATCAAAGTAGAGGTTACGTGTTTGCGGTGGAAAAAAAATTAAAAGATCCCAAAATTCTAATTCTTTAGTTATGATTTCTATAATCAGGTCTTTTTGCTTTTAGGTTTTGTAGCGAAATTTTTTTTACTTTCACAAGTTATCCAATCAAGTCTATCCGCTATCAAATCCAACCAAATCAAGTGGACATGGCAATCGAGCGATGCCAGAGCGTGACATAGACAATAATAGCTTTCGAGGCCAAAATTTGAGTTCATGTTGAAAAACAAAGAGATCTTGGGTGAAAGAACAGGGTTTCTTCAATTTCATGCTCGAGCATTGCTGACAATCACGTCAGATGGATTTAATAGAATGAATAGATTAGAAAAATGAAAAGTAACAAAAACTTGATTTGGCAAAAAAAGGGAAATAAAATCGGCGCGAGAAACAAAATTCTTCACAAAAAAAAAAAGAAAAAGAGAAGCAATGTACCAAAATTTTTTCGATTTCAGTCCAATCCCAAACCAACTGACCGCGGCGGGTATAGTACGACCCGACCCGAATTGATGACGTCGTAGCGTATAACCCCCGCTCGCTCCACAATGCCAGCCCGTCCAGCACTCCCTCCGGTCGCTGTGCTCGGCCACGGCGGATTCCGATCGACGACCGGTCGTCAGGACCGACCACTTCAGGCAAAAGCGTTCGTCTTTATCTATCTTTGCCCCCTTCTTGATCGCATTACAGACTTACGGCTACAGTTGAAAACGGGCTACTATGCATGTCTATTTAGTCTTTACCCGACCGGAAATTGATGATGGCTATTGGTGATTAGCTGTAGGATCTAACTGGTGTGAGAAATGTGGGTCTGGTGATGCTTGCCCCTCGCTTTAGTTTGTCTACGCCTTGAAGAAATTTTTGAGTAGGAAGAAGTCCTGAGAGGAAGAGTGAACTTTGCTGAGAGCTGGATGAAGCGAAGCTACTCTGCAGTTGGGTTTTGACCATTCAAAAAAAATAAAAAAATTGGTGCCCGTTTGTTTTCTGCGGTAAAATTCGCCTAAACCCCGATGTTACTGAAGTGGGAGAGTTGCTAATTATCTCTGATTGTGAATGATCAACTGGTTTCCGTGCGAAACACATGGCATAAGTGTGCTGAGAATGAGTTCCGGAAGCAAAAGTCGTGAGTGTTAAGTGAATCAGTAAGCTGAATCAAGTAAAGTTTAGTTCTTTGGAAATTCTTTGAGACTTCTTGGTCAGTGTTATGGTCGAACGGAGTTAACCAAGTTAATATTCGTTTTCCCTTTGAAGAGCTAATTTTGATTATCAAGTCTTTACTCATGTGATATACGAAGACCTAATAAATATAACTCTTTCATATATGAGCCTTAATCACACATAAATCACTCATGTCTAAGATGAATCTAGTATTAACCATAACCCCTTTATTTGGTTTGGCGAAAACTACGTCTCTTGCTATCAAGATTTTATTGGGTCGACTTTTTGTGCAAATGTTGTAGGTTTAATTAATGCTATTAATGATTCACTCTGCGATAAAATTTCTATCACACACTTGAATACCTCATGGATAGGCCCATGAGAAATATTGGACTTTAATGCGGAGCTCCGCTAGAACCAGGGTGAACTATTGAAGTTATTGAGGGCGAAAGAACTTAAGTCTCAAGAGCATGGTTCTACATGCTTTGGCTATCGTATCTTAAAACTTTAGAGCCACCGTGTTTTCTAAGTACCATGATCACATCATTGTCGAAAAGCAAGTCTTCTAGCAAATCGTATGACAAATGTTAAAATTCATGTTACCATCTGTCCGTTGCTTTGATGTGTTTGCTTATCAGCACTTTCGCCATGTTCTGTGCCAATTACCTATTGCGCGGGAGATTCCCTTGAGAACCCGCTTCTCATCCATTCATAAATATTGTGTAATATTTAGTAAATAGATCGAACATAAAAAGAAAATTAGATCCTATAAGTTCTATCTCATTCCAAGGCACTAAATACTTGTAAATGTGGTCTTCTTTCCTATTGCTCAACACTACATCACTTCCTTAATAGGTGTTTGCATGATGATACAGCTAAATATTCTAATAGCTGATTGCAAAAGGGGAATGGTATCTCTTTGTAGGTTTTCTATAATCTTCATTTTATATACCGGATCCTTTTATAGTTTACAGTAGGAGTATTTGTTGCTCTTTATTGTTGATCATTTTTACTCTACATAATGCCGTAGGCATTTGCATGATAATGCAAATGGCTCGACTTGTTCATGATTGTATAAGGGCAATGTTGAGGCCAATTCATGTACTGTCATGGCACAAAAGATTGGCTAGCTAATAATCTTTTCTTGATGTTCATATACGGTTCATTACTGATAATGCTAAGGGAGGCACACTAATTTTCCAGGTAAGTTGACTTCAATCAAGGAAAAGGGTTTCTGCTCCTGAGTGGTCTATGCTTTATATTGATTTAGTGCTTTTTTTGTCTTTGAAAACCTTTACCTTGAATGATACTAGTTTACCATTCAGTGATTTTCTTGCTTTTACACGCATTTTTATTATAAGTTACAGTTTAGGCTCCTCAAATTGCTCGAGCCATCCTCGTTGCTTCACAGCTCTTCATAATACGATTGACATTTGTGAAGAATTTGATTTCCAATTAACATTTGTGACAGACAAAGAGCGAGATTGTTCTGACCTGCTGCTTCCTGCATATTCAAGTAGTCTTTGACGAGCATTTTATTTGCTGAAGTTGATTGTGAGCCTAACAAATTGTCTAATTTTTTAGGGCATATATTTGCACAAATGTGGCATGAGACTTGATACTTGTTCTAATTTGTTTTGCATTTTGCATTTTGTTTTGAAATCATGTTTGACTGTTTGCAATAGAACAACTGCTTCAAATTCCTATCTCAGCATTTGCTTTGAGATTGGTATGCCCCAGTTATGACTGTTATCATGCGGGTTTAAAGTCATTTAGTATGAAAAAGACTCTGGAAAAGGAGGGAGATGGCACAACAAGGGATAATGTGGTTTGGACATGTGAAATGGACGATGTGTTGATAGATGGATTGTTAGAGGAACAAAGAAAAGGCAACTGTCATGATATCGTGTTTAGCAGTGAGGCTTACCATAATACCACGAAAACCTTGAGGAACTCCTTTGGTCCATTTATTCAGATATCTAATATATAGAATAGAACTAAGACGATGAAGAAGAATTTTGCCGAATGTAGTACTACATTTCATGGTTGGAGTGACTTTACTTGGAATGCCATCACGAAGATGTTTGATGCTCCAGATGAAGGAGAAGTTACTTCTTGTTCTAGGTCATTTCAATCGTTATTTCTTCTTTGGCGTTTCTCTTTTGACTTCTCATGTGTATTAATGCGCCTAGCAAGAATACAACAACTGCATATATTACAGGAGAGACCTGAAGCAAGAAGGTGGAGGCCATTGCTTACAACAAACTTTATGAACTTTATTCACAAGATAGAGCAATTGGTGAGCATGCTGAAACTACTAGAGAGAGAGTTCATAGAGAAGAGGCTTCCCCACAACTTGACTTACATGACTCGCGGTCGCAGGATAATGGCATGGCCCTGGTAAAAGACTTAATTGGCGGATCGCAATGCACTTCGCCAGAGGCAATCAGAATGGCTTCACTCCCGAGTTTTTGACTGCTAATAATTCTCATGAGAGAGCATCTTCTGGTGGCTCGAAGCGAAAGGCCACGGTGCCGGATGTGTTCAAGAGTCAGTGCACAAGGCTGAGCACGGGAATGGAAAGAGTCACAGACGCCCTAGAACAGGTGAATGTGATAGCTGAAAAGTTTCTTACGATTTTTTAAAGTGGCCAGCCGCGACACTATTGAGAAGATGAGATATATAGTGAGCTTGAACCAATGGGACTGCACCCAAATTTTCTGCTGGATGCTTATAGTTTTCTCGCTGGCAATCCAAAGGCGACAAGGACAATTTTTGGCGCTCCATGGGCTAGGCGCATGGAATTGCTGACGAAGATCATGAACGATCATGGTATTGTAGATACATGACAAACAGAATTGAAGATATGTAGGTTTGCTGAGCAATGTTGGATCATAGTTATAGCCATTACTTGTCAATAACATCTGTACTTTCTTATTGGCCCAGGTGGGGGGGCACTTTTGAAATGAACTCCCTGGGTACATATGGGTAATTATGTTTGTGGCATTATGGTTCTGGTGGTGTTGCTAAGATGGTTGGTTAGACGGTTTTGTTTTTTGGATAAGGTTTGCAAGGTTAATCAAACTTTTGCCAAGAGTGAGGTGAATGTTTTTGTTTACTGAGATTTGATTTGTACTTGGAGCAGTGGTGATTGCTTGCCTCTTTTAAGGGATAATGACACAAATAGTCCCTAAATTTTGACTTAATGTGCAATTTGGTCCATGAACTTTTAATTTGTTCAATATAGTCCATGAACTTTTAATTTGTTAAATGTGGTCCCTGAACTTTTGGTACATGTTCAATTTAGTCCCTGAACTCTATGAAAATATATAATATAGTCCATGAACTTGAATTAATAGAAGGACTACATTGAACATTTTTATAAAGTTCAGGGACCAAATTGAACATATACAAAAAGTTCAGGGACCACATTGAACAAATTGAAAATTCAAGGACCACATTGAACATTGGGTTAAAGTTCAGGGACTATATTGAACAAATTAAAAGTTCAGGGACCAAATTGCATATTGAATCAAAGTTCGTGTGGACCTGCTTTGTGTCATTTTCCCTTCTTTAATCATCATGTATTCATCATTCTCCTTCTTATTCCTTGACGTGGGGTTGCAATAATCATGCCCAACAATGGAGAAAGACACTTTTCCTGTGCTAGCAAATATTTAATCTGACAAATTTTACAATTGGCGAATTGACTGCAAGTTTCCCACTAAAACTTCATTCAGAGCAGAGGGGATGGAAGCTAATGATCAAACCCAAATGTGTCCATTAGTTCTCTCTCTCTCTCTCTCTCTCTCTCTCTCTCTCTCTCTCTCTCTCTCTCTCTCTCTCAGAGCATGGAATAATATTTTTCTTATAAAAGGAGTTATGAAATTATTTGGTGAATGCCGAGATATAAATGAAAATGAAAAATTGAAATGTTTAATATCTTATAAAATTCACATTCCCCTTTTTAAATTTGAAGTCAAAAGTGATCTTGTAATTACTTCTTAAGCATTTCAGAACTTCGGTGTAATCGATGAGATCAGATTTGGTTATAGTTTCAAATCGAAAATTTAGATCATGACAAAATCCTAACAAATATGCTACCCATATCGAGAGTGACGATTTGGATTGTTTTATTATATTTGTGCCATCCTTTATATTTCAACGTGATTATAAGAAGTTTAAGACGACAAATGCGTGATAACATGTCAATTCATGTCGATTTTAAGCTAAGTAATGTTAGGGGTGTTCAAAAGAATTAGAAACCGCCTGGAAGTGGACCGGACCGGCCAGAACCAGCGATTCCCATGGGGACCGGTCCGGTTTCCAATTCCAATTTTTTGGAACCAGTGAGTACTGATTCGGTTTCTAATTCCAAGCGTAGGATCGTCCACTTAGATCGGACCGGTACATATATAAATTTTTTTTGTAAATGTTTATGTTTTCAGATCAAAACCCTAGTTTCCTCTTCGTCTCTCTCCATCTCTCACCTCACTCGTCTTGCGGTCTCCATATAGATTCCTCACAATCATCGACATTACTCCTACCTCAACATAGTTTCTAAGGCTATGTCCATCATCTCCACCTTCTTCTCTTCCATTAGAAAATATTTATGAAGGAGTAGGGGCCAAACATCGGCCACGACAAATGACATTTCTTGTAACTTTTGCTGTCAACATTCGGCCCATTTGAATTTGATTTTTGTAAAAGGTTGATGTTGGAAAGCGATAAGTATTGGATATTGAGAAGGTGCCTTGGATGACCTAGAGAACCCAACCTTTCGTATAGATTCCCTCTAAAGCCACCCTTTGCTAGAAAGATATAGAAATAAAAACATACACAAATGGATCACAGCAAAAGAATGTGAACTGCTTCGCTTTGAACAGATGAATGGCATGAATTTGTTGGGGACATTTCGACCGGTTTTTGGATGGGTAGATGGAATCAATATGCGATTTTCGGTGTAAGGATGGGAAAAGAAACGATCAATTTTTTCCCAAATGTAGTGGATTTTGCCAATTATTGTCTCGACCCTTGAATACCTTTACATAAAAAAAGAGGAGTCGTATAGGCCGAAGGAGACGTCCGTACCAAAAAGGAGCAGAGAAGTGCGATATCCATCCCCAGCGAGGAGTACGCCTAATTCCAAGTTGCTTTCCATGCAAGTGCGGTGTCTCTTCCCCTCCCCTCCCCTCCCCTGCCCTGCCCAACGAGGCCACACGGAACCAGCAGCGAAAGTGATCATACCGTATCCCTTCTCGTGCTAATCTCGTTCCCGTATCAATCCCAAACTGCAAAATCTCTCTCTCTCTCTCTCTCTCTCTAAGAGTTCACTTCCACATATACCACGCGGATCCCCCCCGTGGCCAAACCAGAGCGAAGATAAAAGAACACACGAACCCATCTCGGTGGTTCCGCGTAGGGTTCTTCTTTTTGTGCTTCCGATGCTCTCTGTCCCGTTGCCGTTCCCCTGTAGCCCTGTATCTGGCCTTTAATACCCATAAAGAAACAATGCAGATGCAGAGCCTCTCCTTCTTGATTGATTCCTAGAGCCAAGACGCGTCCTTTCCTTTTTGGGTTTCTTCCGATTGCTCTGCTTTTCCACCCCTTTTCGTCGATTCCTCCTTTTTGCTTGCTTCACCGATCGATCCTCTCTCTGCCTCTCGCTTTTCTGTGAAAAAGATTCAGACCCTTTTGACCTGTTGGGTCGTTTTTCTGTTTTTCCGCCTCCGTTTGGGTTGCTTCGTTTTTTGGCGTGATCTGCGTCGGGATGACGGAACTGGGTCAAGAAGAGAGGAGGTACCCGTGCAAGCTCTGCGGGAAAAGTTTCGCCAGCGGAAGGGTCTTGGGAGGCCACGTCAGGAGCCATCGCGCCGCGGCGGCCTCCAAACCATCCAAGAACCAGAGGTCGCCCCTCCGTGGCCACGGGACGGAGTTTGCTTGGAGTCTCGAGAATGTGTGTTGGGTCTGCGGGAAAGGATTTCGGTCGCGTCGCGCTCTGTTCGGCCACATGAGACTCCACCCAAGAAGCGAAAGAGGAAGGGATGCTTTTGGGGTTCTTCCTCAGGAATGTGGTGAGGCGTTTGAGCCGTTGGGCTCTGTGTATGCCAATTCGAGGTCCCAGTCCGAGAAACCGAGGATCTTTAATGGAATGGACGCTGATACGCCACAATCCTCGACTGCAACGGCGGCTAGCGAGATTTGGCGGCCAGACGAGGAAGAGGCGGCGGCTTCTCTTTTGATTCTCTCTCTGGGCGCCGTGGCGTATCGGATGAAGAGAAAAGACGTAGAACACGGCGAGGATGGTGGACCAATGCTCAAGAAGGTGAGAACAGAGGCGATCGTTCCTGATTTCTCAGAAGGTACGAAGTTGCCGTGCAGATATGATCGCACTGATCTTGGGTCCGCAGATGATGAAGTTCACATCGAGATGTTCCTCGGGGGAGTAGAATTCGAGAAGGTGGCTGAAAAGGGTGATGCTTTCGGTTCTGTGCATGGTGGTGGTGAATTTGAGAAGGGATTTGATGGTGCCCTGAGTTTCAAGCTCAATGGAATAGTAACCGAAACAAGAGAGGTGGTCAAGTTAGGTCATCCTGACATGAGAGAACACTCCTGCAAGATGATGACTTTCGCTGCCGGTTCTGAGAAATCTGATGATTCCACAAGAAAGAAGGAGTACAAGTGCAAGAACTGCAACAGGGCATTCCCATCGCACCAGGCCCTCGGAGGCCATTGTGCGCACCCCGGCAAGAGAGGAAGCTTCTGCTCTGCAGTACTGAAGGATGTGGAGATACGCGACACCAGTGGTGGTGAAGGGTTTGCATCAGGAAAGGCCTTGGGTGGTCACAAGAGTGCTCATCGTGTGGAAGTGGAGGTGGGAGGCTATGCAGCCAAAGCCAAACAGGACCTTCCTGAGAAGCTGGAGATTTCAGCTGGTTTGACCAGGCTGATTGATCTCAATGTGCCATTTGAGCTTCAAGAAGGAGAAGAAGATGGTGCCCATCATCTGCTCAAGAGATGTTTAGTAAGAGAGCATGAGCACGGGCCTCTGGTGGGTGCTGTGGTGTAGATAAAAGTCGATTCTGCATAATTTGTTTTAGGGAGCTCTACTGAGCAACAGTTGAAGAAGAAGATACGAGTACAGTACAGATGCCATCTTTGGGTTGTAAATGAGTTTCGATGATACTGCATAGTGAGCCAGCTTTTTGTTTCCTATTGCTCATGCCTTGTCCTTGGTTCTGATTCATTCCCTTGATCTGGCGAAAAATCTTATTTTTTTTTTTATCTTTTCCTTTTGCTGCTTCATTCATGCTCACATGTACAGATGTTCTTTTAAGGGAAGATGGGTCCTTTGCAGCTGTTGGCTCCTCGCTCTTTTTTGTACTTTTGTCCTTTTCCTTTCTGCTTGCCAACACGATATCAAAAGGTTTACTTTTGTCCTTCGCTTGAACCCATCAGGAGAGCAATTTTAAAGAAAGTGTCAAAACTTTTGGCTATGGGAAAGTAAAATAAGCAGAGGATGGGAGAGCACGGTAACAGATCCACCGGAGGTGAAAATCCACCTGAGAGCTGAGAGAGAGTAGCCTCTATCGAATGAGAAATTAGTAGTTTAGAAATTGCTGCCATTGATTTCACTCTTAGTATCTGCCTCAAACTTTATGAAATGATGTTGCATCAAATCGCCCCTTTATTAACTCGAAATGAAAAACTATCCTCTCATCAAATCACGTGGGAGTAAGCCCCAACTACTAATCATCTCCCTTACACTGGATTACCTATTAACCCCGTTGATAGAAAAGTGAAATGTTTGTCTTGTCTCTTGCTGATTTCAAATATATTGTGTAGAAAACTTTATCGGCAAGCCTTCTTGAGGTGTAAACGCACACCAAATGCAAAAACATTGCTTTGCCTAGTTCACTTAAAGTCCATGCGAGACTTACCACATCTACCTTATTGTAAAGTTCAAATTCGAACGTTCTTCAAGTTCACTAGTGTAGTTTATTTAACACATAGTTTAATTAAGGGTTAATATAACGAAAAATCATAAACCAGTACATATGTAATAGCTTTACCCTCCATTAATTTTCGCTAAATTTTACTGTCAAATTGCTGAATCGAACAACATGCGGCAATTGATGGGTGTACAAATTTGGGGTTTTACCCCCCGTTTGTCACATGTGTAACCGTTTATGATTTTTAGTAATATTAATCCAAATTAATGAAAATCAATGGATGATAAATTTATCGTAAGTATATCCGTTTTGAATTTTTAGTAGTCAAAAAATTAGTTTGTGATAAATCTATTATAGGTATACCATTTCGGTGTTTTTCATTTAACCAACCATCCTACTTTTTTCTTTGGACTCCCACTTTTTGCCCTTCAAGGCGAGAACCACCTAGTCACGTGAGAGCATGGACCGACCTTCGGGGGGAGAATTTGGCCCGGAGCCGACCTCGGGGGTAAAATTGAAACCGGATTTCCAACGGTCAATTTCGAAAATTGACATTAATAAGGGGGGGCAAATTGCAACAACCCCAATAATCCAGGGGGGCATGGTGTAATTATCCCTTTTGCACTTTCTTCCCAAAGATTCCTGTTTTTAATTCCAGTTTTCTTCTTGGAATGAGCTCTTCTCCTCGCAGAAAGATTAGCTGAAAACGGTGTAGCCAAGCAAGCTTGCATGGACTATCACGGCGCCAGCTTCGCTCGCTTTCACCAGAGCTCGCGTCCTCCGCCATACCCACAAGCCGCGGACCGAAACGATGCGCTCCTCTCATCGTCATCGTCAGACCCATGTCTTCGCATCTCCCAGCTCTTCGAACCCGGCCCCAGTTTCACCTTCTCCGCCCTTCCCCAACCTCGGGGGCGCGATCCCTTCCACGCCGGCGCCGGTCCCGGAGCCGTCGCCGCACTGCCCGGTGCGGCCCCGTTGACCCCCTTGAGCTCTCACGCGGCCCACCATGCTGACGTGGCACCCGGCTACGCGGCGTATCAGGCGGCGAGTGCGGCGAGTTTGGCCGCCGCGGCGGGGATTCAACAATTTGGGGTGGACCCAGCTACGTATGGAGGAGTTGTGAGTGTTGTTTTTTTCAAGAATTTTTTTTTTATGGTTTTCTGGTGTTTCTGGGGCTATCGATGTTGATTGATGCGGAAAAAGTAATTGAAATTAGTCCCTGCATTGTGATTGATAACGTGTTGCTGATTGAACATTGAAGTGAACTGATACAGAAAAGCGGAATTGATCTGCTAGTGAAGTAATCTTATTTCAGACGGAAATTCACTGATCCCTTATTCTATCAAGGGTGGGCTATGTGTGAATTAACTGAATTGGGTGCTCGTGTTTTTTCAGAATATGCTGATGATTCAGGAATATCAAAGTTCTTGTGTAGGGAAAATACTTGTTCTGTTGGGGTGGAGAAGCATTTTCGCCGCCTTGTTTGATTTATAACGTAACCGATCACAAAGGGTTGATTTTAGCTGATGGTTTCACTTTTCTGGTAATGTTACGCATGTTCTTGGCTCTAGACAAACTTAAACAGACAATAGGAGTGAGAAAATTTTCCAATGAGCACTGTGGTATTCAATTTACTCTACGTGTAGAGGACTACATAGAGCTGAATAGACCCGCGGCTTATTTAGGCGAATCCGTGGAGGGTTGTCATTGACAGGAATTTCAACCCATTTTAGTGGAAGGACATTTATAATGCTATAGCGGCTGGTGGAGTAAGTAAAATCTTTGGAAATATTGATGCTCTTGGTGCTAATTTATTGACTTGTGTGCTTTCTTGAATCAAGGTAACTGGTTGTTTTCTTGTAAATTTGCGCACGGCATTGGATTAGACTGGCTGTGGGAATGAATTCTTGCACTAGTGGTGTACAAATAGACATGACTATGGGAGACTGTGATCTCGAGTTCCAGTCCGCTTGCCCAAATGCTTTATGTATTAATGTGGCGCTGACCTAGTTCATTCTTATCTGCATTCCTAGTTGTTCGGCTGATTATTCATCATTTGACATAGTAGTTCCCCCATTTGGTTGGTCTAAGAAAGCACTCGAGTTTCTTTTGCATTTTTGAAGGAACCGGAGGCAGTGGTTTGTGCCTTTGTGCGGTGTCTCCTTCATTTTGTGCTCGTGTAAGTTTTTTTTTTCTCTTTTATGAGTTCATCAAATTGAAAAGGAGACTTAGAGCTTCATGTCTATCGAAGCTAGGATTTCAGCGCCGTCTGAACTATAAAAATGGTAGTAGTATTTAAGGTTGGGGCGTAAAAATAATTTTATGTATCTCCATTGGCCATGACCGAAGGACAAGTCTTTCCAGTTGTGCTGCCTTTGCCTTTTTCTTTCTCTATTTATGTGTTTTGTGGTGCAGCTTGGTGGCTTTTTTTAGAAGAAGGGTGTGCACAGGATTGGGGTATGAAGACCGGTCTATGTTTTGCTTTTTATCCTCTTGAAAACGGCCTTTTAATTATTTTTGTATGATTGGTATTTCGGATATTTTCTTACGCTGGATTGCTGAGTGTAAAGCACTCATGCCATTACATTCTTCTTTTGTTTTTCTGTGCATAAAAAATCTTTCGAATTCGTAACACTTGCAATTTTTCGTGAAGCAACTTGCAGTACCTACAGATAGGACAGGACAATTGGCTGCTATAAATCTCAACCCCGCCTTCTGGAGTAATCCCAAAGTTAAGCCTCCCAAAATTGGTGGATGGAAGAAGAAGCATCCAAAGAAAACAAAGCTCGTACAATCTGCTTACTGTGGAACTTGCAATGTCAACTGTAACAGCAAAGACATGCTTGATCAGCACAAATTGGGAAAGAAGCACATGAAGAATCTTGAGAAGCTAAGAGGGGTAACTAACGCAACTCCCATCACTTCAAACGGGTCATGCAATCCACTAATCGGGCCACCCGAGAACCCCAATCAGCACAGCGGGGTTACCAAGCAAAATGTTAGAAAGAAGGCAGCATCTCAGCCCGCGGAGGACCTGGAGACGAAGAGGAGGAGGGTTGTCCAAGGTGGGGCGGCAGCAGATGCAGTTAGGACATGCACCATATGTAACGTGGTGTGCAACAGCGACACGGTATTTATGCACCACCTAACCGGACGGAAGCACGCCGCCGTGCTGAAGAAACGGGCAGCTGGATCATGAGCGCGTCTCCCTCTTTTATTTTCCGTTTTTTGTGATTCCGAGTTACCGATCCCCCATGGTTTATGTACAGAAAGATGGTGGGTGGGTGAGGTTCGTTTTTGGCCTCTTCTGTTACGCTCAACAGTCAACTACATCTTGAGATCCTTGTCTCTGAGATTACAAGTCCGGAATCATTCTTTTCAATGGACTGACCGGGCATGACGATTGAACGATATGCTCTGGAGGGTCTAGACAATCCCGTGACAGAAGATCGTGCATGGAATGCATTCGCATTCGCATCCACCTTCATATCTATCTTAGCTCGTTCTCGTATCGCAAAAGGTTATCGGAATTTCCCATAAAAAGTCCCTTAAAACCGGGGAATACAGGTCTCGAAGGATGCGTATTCTCATTCATTATTATTTCCGAAATCGAGATCGTATAGTTTGACCATGACCCAGAAAGGCAAAACAGCTCGGGGGTGGGGGGCGGGGGCGGGTGTCGTCACTCGTCAATCATTGTCTGATAGCTGCCCTCCCCCAGCAAACGATTCCCACCGATCCGCTCTTATGCAGCGCGGTGCAATCGCCAACGGATACGAGCCTCGGCCGAGTCAACTCCGCATCAAACGAGAGTGGTAATGACCAAACAAGATTGCCCAAGAACCAAAAGCGGAGCCAAAAAGTAGAAAAAAGATGAAAGGGGGTCAGTGGTAGTGCAGCAAGGACTGACTGTGATAACCTCCCCCCTAGTTCGGTTTCGATCGCCCCCCAGATCCACCACCTTCTCTCCTCCTCCCGCGTAGCCCCCATGGCTCACCCCCACCACCACCCGCCGCCACCCCCGACCCCCGGTTGCTGCAGCAGCTACTGCTGCCACTCCGGCGCAGCCCACCACCCCCCGCCTCAGCCGCCGTTGGACCCGCTCGTCGAAGCCCTCATTTCGCGCCTCCTCCAACCTCCTCCTCCTCCTCCTCAAGAACCCCACAACCCATTTCCGCGGACCCGCCAGGAAACGAGCTTCGGTCAACCCCATCACCGCCACCCGCGGCAGCAGCAGCTCCGGCATCACCCGGATCCCATCTCCTCTCTCCTCGATCGCATCGAAGCTCTCGAGTCCTCGCTCCGTTCCTTCTCCGTCTCTCCTCCTCCTCCTCCCGCTTCCTGTCGCCGCCGCCGGTTCTGTCCTCTCAGGGACGCGGCCGCTCGCGTCATCCAGGGCCACTTCCGGGCCTTGCTCGTCCGCAGATCCAGGGCCCTCCGAGACCTCGAGCGCCTCGCTTCCATCAAGTCCGCCGCCGCCGCTCTCCGGTCCTCCGTCTACGCCTCTTCCCAGCTCGATCTCGATCGCGTCTCTCGGAAAGTCACCGCCCTGCTGCTTCAGCTCGATTCCATTCAGGTAGCTGAAAAGAATCGCTCTGTTTTGCTGTCTCTTTTTGTGTTGTATTGCTTTGCTTTGAAAAAGGGTCGGCTTGATGTTTGCAGGGTAATAGTCCTGTGATTAGAGATAGTAAAAGGAAGATTAGCAGGGATTTGGGTTGCTTGTTGGAGTACATTGATAGCGTTGCTGTGAAAAGATATGAGATTTCTTATAAAGCTAAGAAGTGTGTGAAATCTGTGGGAGGTAGAGGCAAAGTGAAGGACTTGAGGGATCAGAGAGACGTGGTTAATAACCTGAGGACGAGGGTCGAGCGGGTCCGCGAGTTGTCTAGGGCTTTAGAGAATGATGCTGGGGAAGATGGAGAGCTTGAAGGGTTCCACGGTGTCGGGGATGGGGAAGTGGACGGTAGGAGGGTGAGCAGGGTGCCGGGGAAAAGGTGTGGAGTGAAGAAAGCTGTGAACTTCGCGGAGGATGGGAATGTGTATAGGATCATCAGCAGCAATTCTGACGAGGCAAGCTCGAGTGGGGATGATCGAGGCGGTATTGGTGGTGGAGAGGTTTTGGAGGATTTCCGAGCCCACAATGAGGTTGAAGAGATGAAGGGCTCTTCTTATGTGGCCGAGGATGATGATGACGACGATGATGAAGAGGAAGAAGCTGAGAAGGGGAGCGAGGAGTCTCTGGAGAGCAGTGATGGAGAAAAACACCAGGGAAGGGTGAGGAGTAAAGGTAAAGTCAACAATGGCGGGGCATGTAAGGGCCAGAACAGCAAGTTCTCATTCTCTGCCCCAGTACCTGAGAAGATGGAATCAAGAGCTGATTTGGTGAAGAACAGAAAGAATGTGAAGATTTCAACGTCACAGCAATAAGCCAAGAAGTCTTGCAATCAACTTTTGGTTTCGGCAATTATGCAGCTGTTGACTTGGCCATTGGAGTACGATTTGCGGCACCTTTTTCCGGTGATTGTTTCTTTAGATTGATTGGGATACAGGCGAAACAGTGTAGATGAGCGCATTTGTGGTTGTGGTTAATCTTCTTGTTTTTAGGTTGGGCAGAACATTACATTTTTCTTCATGGACATCCTGTGGCTGTAACATGTATGCTGTTCTTGCCTTGTATGCTGTTGTTGCTTTGATCATTCTGCGACAGATAAAACTATTGTTTTCTTTTTCATCGACATCCTCTGGCTGTAACACGTCTGCCGTTTGTGATTAGAGTGACTAGCGAACTGGCATCCTCCTCGCAGCTGCGATTCTTCGCCGACTGAGATAAGGGGAGGCGGTCTAAAATCTCTCGAAGGAAAAGCATCAGATTCCGACCTGTGATACCGAACAAGTTACCTAACGTTCTGCTGAGCTTCATTCGTCCGATGAACACATGTATTAGGACAACTCAGCTATGTTCTTGAGGCTGAGCTTGAAGAAGTGCATATAAATCATGCAGAGGTGGTCAAAATTTCAGACAAGCTTACTCAACTTGAATGTAAAAGCAGGCTGATTTTCCTTTCCAGTGTCCAGTATCCACCTCCATGGGGATTATAGACAGATTAACAACCTAAAGCTGCTAAGTCAGACCATTGTTGTCAAGATTACATCAACCTTTGACCAATTAGAGTAACTAGAGTTGCTTCATATTATATGTTAAGTTAAATCTTCCTTGCTTGTGAACAAAATAAAAGCGGGCTTTTTACTTCATATTATATATTAATGCAAAATGTAGGGACTCAGCCATAGTTAAAGAACTGACAATTATCGTTCTCATACGATACATGAAGATTTTATATGTTATCAACAGCATTACTGTAATATTGAGAAAAAATAATGATAGAAAATATTTAGAGGAAGTATCAATAGGAAAGTTTAAAAAATTGTTAGAATATTCAATGATTACTAATTTATAACACTGAAACTCATTAAAATCTTAAAATATGCTTAGTGTAACACGTTTACCTTAAACTATCCTAAATTTATAACTATGTGACATATTTACCGTCTATCAAATTTTTGTCAATGAGATAAAAAAGACTTATCTTTGTTGAAAAAATTATCTAACGGAATTATGATAAAGGGTAAATGTGTTTAGTTTTAGTTGGATAAGGATAAATGTGTTACGTAAATATAAATTTAAAGTTTTTTTTATGTAATAAATTTTTTTTAGAGTAAATGTATTAAGGTCCTGCTTTAAATCAAATCGATCGATTTCACGTGAGTAGCATCCGGTTCGATGGATTCATGTCGATTTCCGTTCCCAACGGACCGAGCATAAGCTTCTCATCACCGTGCGGTCGTGGAGGCCCGGTTCCATTCGTACTTTCCGGCGCGCGACGTCTCAGACGAGGAATCGCCGAACCGGGCATGAGCACCCGCCGCCGTCCGCCTCCAACACCGAGTCGGCGCCGCCGGACTCATGAATGGCCGGAAGCCACCTTCTCCGGCCATCGCTAGCCCAGTGCCGGTCACTTCTTCAGCGCTTCAAAGCGACTCGGTCCCTGACGAGCACCAAGCTGCTCCATGCCCGGATCGTCGTCTCGGGGCTACTCCCCACCTCGGCCTCCACCGCGCAGGTCCTCTCTGATCTCGCCCTCACCTACGCGTTGTGCGGGCACGACCCCCACGCCGCCGCACTGTTCGACGAATTGCCTGAGAGAAGCCCGCCTCTGTGCAATGCCCTCATCAGGATGTACAACCTCTGCGGCCGACATCGCGAGGCACTCCGCGTGTTCGCTGGGATGCTTGCCTCGGGTCGGTGCCCGCCGGATAATTTCACGTACACGTTCGTCTGCAAGGCCTGCGGCGACCTGTCGCGGCTTGACATCGGGTTTGCTGTCCATGGGAAGGTGTTTGCTGCCGGGTTCAATTCGGACACCTTCGTGCAGAACGCTTTGCTTGCGTTGTACATGAATTGCGGGGAAATGGCGGCTGCAAGAAAGGTTTTTGACGAGATGCGGGAGCGGACGGTGGTCTCATGGAATACTGTGATTAGTGGGTACTCCAAAAATTCATATTCGGGGGAGGCGGTGATGCTTTTCAAGTCGATGGTGAATGCTGGTGTGGAGCCTGATAGTGCCACAGCAGTTTCAGTGTTACCAGCTTGTGGCAATATGAAGGAGTTAGACATGGGTAAGTGTGTTCATAATATTGTTGAAGAGAAAGGTTTAGGGAACAAGAATATAGCTGTGAGTAACGCATTGCTAGATATGTATGCAAAGTGTGGTAGAATGGATGAAGCTCAGGCAGTTATCCGTGAAATGGATAAGAGGGATGTTGTAACATGGAGTGCCATGATTAACGGATATGTTTTGAATGGTGATGTCAGAAAAGCTTTGGATAATTGTCGGCTAATGCAGTTTGATGGGGTGAAACCAAATCCAGTGACTCTATCTTCTCTCCTTTCAGCATGCGGTAGCTCCTTTCTGCTCAAGCTTGGAAAGTGCTTGCATGGCTGGTCGGTGAGACAAAAGCTCGAATCTGATGTACTGATAGAGACAGCACTAATTGACATGTATGCAAAATGCAAGCGTGTGGATGTCAGCTTTCATGTTCTCGCAAGAGCTTTACAGAAGAGGACCGCACCATGGAACGCAATCCTGTCGGGATGTGTCCACAATGGCCTTGCTAAAGAAGCCATACAAGCTTTTAAACAAATGCTGATAAAAGAAGTAGAACTGAACCTCGCAACTGTGAACAGTCTCCTTCCAGCATATGCCATTCTAGCAGATTTGCAGCAAGCAATGAATATACATGGCTATGTAGCAAGATCTGGCTTGGCAATAAATGTAGAAATCATCACAGGCCTTATTGATATTTACGCAAAGTGTGGACGTCTAGAATCTGCTCATGAACTTTTTAATGATATCCCTAGGAATGAAAAGGACATCGTAGCGTGGAGTGTAATAATAGCTGGTTACGGAATGCATGGGCATGGTGAAGCTGCTGTTTCGCTTTTTAAGGAAATGGTTCACTCGGGAGTTAATCCCAATGAAGTCACTTTTACCTCTGTTTTGCATGCTTGTGGCCATGCAGGTCTGGTGGAGGAAGGTTTGGATTTGTTCAATTTCATGCTCCATAAGAACCCAGTGAGGCCTCATTTTGATCACTACACATGCATGGTTGATCTTTTAGGCCGGGCAGGTCGGCTGCAAGAGGCTTATGGTTTAATTAAAACAATGCCATTTAAGCCCAACCATGCTGTTTGGGGTGCATTGCTCGGTGCTTGCGTAATCCATGAGAACGTGGAATTGGGTGTGATCGCTGCAAAATGGCTCTTTGAGCTTGAGCCTGAGAACACAGGCAACTATGTACTGCTGGCAAAAATTTATTCAGCATTGGGAAGGTGGAAAGATGCAGAGGACATTAGACATATGATGAAGAAAATAGGATTGAGAAAAGCACCAGCTCACAGTTTAGTATAAGCTATGCAGGTGTAGATACTGGAATTCTTGTTATTGCGTATAAGAGCCTGTACGCTACCTGTGCCATAGAATCCCCCTGAGTTGCAATTTGCGAACTGTTGCTGGAGCTGATTTACCAAGCGAATTGCAAGAGGTTTGTTCATTGGAAACTGGATCGTTTACCATCTTCTGTGTGTAGGAATTATAAGAGTGGAAATTTGCAAAGAAAAATTCTGATCAAAAGCAATTAACTGGTTGAAATGACTTGAGGACTTTGTGCTCTCTGTTCTCTGAGCAGGGGCCACCTATCAATGGATGAATTGGTTTCCAGAATATCCAAACAGTTTGGGCATTTGCTTCTACTCGCACCTGCAATGATGCTTTCTCAGGTCGGTGATGATATTCGTGTTTGCGCTATTTGTTGTCATGGAAAGAATTGCATCAGTTGGATTGTGCTTTCATCACGGCCACAGAGGGTAGAGATCATGAGCATGGCAACTTGGGAACAACAGATTGTCCCCCTTTGGTGAAGTGAATTCAACTTGGGAACAACATACAGCAAATTGGTGATCGTTTTCGTAGTTATGGTACAGCCACTTTATTGAACGTCTGAAGTTATTACACATCTGTCCTATTTTCTCCATCGATTATGCATGCTGGTTGCCTGGATCTACTTAATTTCGGCTTACTGACTGCTTGGACTTGATTCAGTAGTTATTGGAATACAACTACATGAGTATGAAAAGCTACTTGAGCGGCTTGCAGGTTTATCTGACCTGGAAATCGGGCCGACTCCATTTTACATCGGCTTATTTTCTTCGAAGATCGAGTTCGATACAGAAATTCTGACCGGGATACCATGTCTCTGGTTTTTTAGTTGGGCAAGATTTGAGTTCCTTTAGCCAATGGCTTAAAATGCCCGCAAAGGATTCTCCCATATGGTCACAAAGAAAAAGCTAATCGCAGGGGGCAAGTCTTAGTGCTTATCCAAGACAAGAATATGCTGCATTCATTTGTGGATCCGTCCTGTTTAATCAGGAGATACTAGGACTAGTGAGCTAAATTGGTGTGTAAAGTGATGTTGGCAGGTTCATCCACTAATTTAAATAACAATTTACAGCTGGTCTTGTTATTCTGTACATTGGTTTAGCATTATCGATTTTAGTTATCGCCGGACACTTGTGAATTGACCCCTCTTTGGCTTTTATATAAAGGGAAAAAAGAAAGTGCCGTCTTTCTGTCTCCATCCCAAGACTCCAAGACATGTGACACACCTCTTTTCTCTCCCTCATTGGAGCATGTGCTTTGTTCTCGGAGGACCCACGGATGGGAGTTCCTTTCCCCTTCCTTTAGATCTTGAGTGCAGGCATGAAACTATGCTGGCCAACTATCTTTTATGTGGGGGTGACCTTTCTGCTGAATTGAAAGACAGCCTTGACATTGCGAAGTCGAACAGGTGAATGATTCGGAAAATGACCCCCTAATCTTCGAGACGCGCCCTACCGCGAATCGCCGATTTATGCAGCCTGGGTGAAATGTTTGATTCGTTCAAGAGAGAGAGAGTAGAGAACATATCCGTTCGGGCATCTTCGCTATGTTGCGACTTTTATCCGCCCGATTAGTCCTTTATTTTGTTCTACAACTTGGAATAAAAAGCCGCATCATTCACACGTCCTGTGCCAGTTCAGATGTGAATGGGCATACGTTCAATTTCAAAAAAGGGGAGAAAGGTAAGGTCATCATGTTTGGTTTCAATGATTCTTTTTCCTCTGCTCGTGCAGGAACATTGGATTCAATTCATGTCAGCGGAGGTAAAATGCAGCAGGACAGTTTTAACTTTTCTTCCTGTTTGGTCCTCCTCCTTCGCATGCCCAGGAACGAATTTGGATGTCCTGTCTCTCCCATCCTGAGCCTCCCCCCTACTGACAACCTACCGAAGCCGAAAGTTAATGATATATGATCCGTAGCGGTAAATGCTAGGCACGGCAACATTGCTCTGTCAACTTGAACGGCCCACTTTAAATGTTCCGGATCACAAAAAAAACAAAGAATTATAATAAAGAAAGCGAGACTATATTTTTAAAATGTCGGTATAAATCGAGATATCAATTATGAAAAGTATGAATTTGTAATTAGTTTAGCCGGTCGTCGGACCTCGGTGGTCGTCACCTTATCTGAAAATCGTGGACGTCGGCAATCCTGTAACCGTCGGATGTGGACGGCAGGGATCGGTCGGGTGGTCGTGGTGCGCAAAACACGGTTTCTCGGAACTTAGGACGAACTGGTTTATGACGTCACGCGATTCGTTTTTATTATTTTAATTATTATTTTTCGTCAAACTCATTTTTTTCAACGAAAACAATAAATAGTCGCGAGAAAAAAAAAAGAAGAAGAAAAAAAAAAGGAGGAGGAGGAGGAGGAGCAGAAGAAGGAGAGGAATGAGATGGGGTTGACTGTTCATTCGAGCTCCCCAATCAAAGCCTGAAAAAGGAAAGAGCAACAGCTCCACATAACAACAAACTCCAAACCCTACCGACCCCCACTCCTTCCCCCCTCTCTCTTCTCCCTCCCTCCCTCCCTCCCTCCCATTCTCTCTCTCTCTCTTCCATGGCGGAAGGCGGAGCCCAGCTCAATCCGGCGCCGCGGCGCCGCCGATCTCCTCCGGCGCTCGCCTGATTCCCGATCCGGTTCCCTCCCCCCCCCACCACAAGATCCGGCGGCATTCCGCCGGGACCCCCGACCAATGCGGTCTCGGGCATCGCCCCTACGCAGCAACGATCCCCGCATTGCCGTTCCCAACAGATCGCGCCGGGCGTCCGGATCCGATGGTGGCTGCCGCCGGGCGATCGCGAACCGCTGCCGCCGCCGCCGCCGCCTCCGCTGCCGGTGCCGCTGTTGTTGTTGTTGTTGTTGTCGCTGTCGGCGTTGTGGTGGAATTGAGCGCGCTTAGAGAATGATGCAGCTTAGCTTCTCGCCTAGCATGAGGAGTTTGACCATATCGAGTAGCAATGGATTCGCTGACTTGATGAAGATCAAGATCGCTGCCCGCCACTTCTCGTACCGGACGCTCTTCCACGCCATTCTCATCCTCGCGTTCTTGTTGCCCTTCGTCTTCATTCTCACCGCTGTCGTCACTCTCGAAAGTGTCCCCAACTGCTCCTCCTCCTTGGGTACTCCTCCGCATCATATGGCCATTTTACTGTTGACGTGTTTTTGGTTCAATCTGTTTGATCAATTACGTTCGTACTGGGTTACGAAGTTTTTCGTTGCTTTGAGTTAAATGAGTGGAATTGATCGTGATTGAATAGCTGGCTTGTAACTTTAATGGATGATCAAATGGGCACGATTGTTTGGACTTGCACTGTGGAGACTTCGTACGGGACCATCGATGGAAATCGGTTATTTGCTTAGATTTTCTTATGTGGGGTTGTCAGAATAACGTTGATGCGGCAATAAATGTTTTGCTGAAGCACCTATCTAAGGAAAATTTGTGAATGCGAACTACATAAAAGACATAGTTTCAATACACGACCTGGATTGATGCTTTTATCCTTTTTTTTTCTTTTTTTATCTTTCGGGCACATTGACACTGATTATTTTGATTTTTTATAACATCTGTTTTGTGTGATAATTTTTCTGGAAGAGAAGTCCATGGTCGATTCTGATTGATTGGGCATTTTCTTGGTCCCCTGCATTTTCATGTTGGACTAGAAGTCTTAACTATTTCTTACTGAGTGTAAGGCATGAAAATCAGTGTATTCATGTGCTCATGTCGTTCTATGCTTCAGGCTGTTTAGGCAGAAGATGGGGCCCTAGCTTTCTTGGTAGGGCTGATGCTTCAGAGGTAAGTAAATGTACTTCATGTCCGGTTTGATTCTTTTGTTGACATTAAATTAAGAATTAGACTAGAGAGGACTTATAATTTTTTCTCTTTGGTTGGGTGGCAGAGATTGGTGAGAGACTTGTATATGATCCTCAATGATGTCAATACCGCAGCAATCCCAAATGATTTAGAGCTCCCAGATTCATTTAGTCAACTTGTTCTTGAAATGAAGAATAACCAGTATGATGCAAGAACCTTTGCCTTAATGTTAAGAGCAATGGTATGTTATGCTGTACAATTGCATGTTGTTTATTCATCTGATTTTTCCGTGTGCTATTTTGTTTTTTGCAGAGTGTTTGCTTCATTTATGCCGCAGGTTGGACATGCTAAGCATTCCACCTGCAAATTATTCTATGAGTAAAATTCATGAAGTTGAGCTGCAGTTTTTGCTCTTTTAACAAGCATTTGAGGTAGTTCAGTTGGGACAATAAATTTCACTAAATGGAACTCATTTTGCTACCCATGGTTTATCTACAAATTCAACTTGGTATCTATTATCTAACCTTTGACAATTTACTACTGTAGTTCCTTGAAAGTTTCATGTGGTTTGTGTTGATTTTTTAAAGCTTCATATTGCTTTCCATTGTTTTATTATTTTAATTTTCTGAATTTCCATTGGGAAAAGTTTCAAATGCACATTCTACAATTTATAGATAGTCCTCAAATTCCCAAATTTGCAAATATGGTATGTGAAACGATGCCATCCATGGGAAGTCACGGAATCTTTTAGGTACCTCTTATGCTATTTAATCAATGTCATATAGCTTTTAACTATTTTTTTTGCGACTTCATTTTGGTAAAATCTGAACCGAATCAATGTACAAACACTGAGCAATCTAAACATGTGACGTACCATTTTGACATCGGGAAATTTTAAGAACAAAATCAACAATTATATTATGCTATTAAATGAATTAGCCTTTTCACTCTTCTTAACTTTTCTTCCTTTGACGACACTTGATCGTTGCATTAGACCTGCCGCTTGTTCCATAAGTTATATTTTGCAGTCACCATTTCATTTTCAACCTATTTTTATGTCTTATGGTGAATATTCTTGGATTCTCTTGTTGACTGTTGATATGTTTGGCTTACCTTCCGCTGTCATAATTCTGACATAATTGTTTTGGATGATGCATAAAGAAATCACGCCACACCTAGTTTGAAATTTACAAAAGACTTTGATGTTTAAATGCAGTTTCTTTTTAAATGCCTGTCAAAGAGTGAAAGTAGATCGGAAAATCTTAGCCTAAATTCCCTTTCTTTTCATTACAGATGGAGAAATTTGAAAAAGAGATCAGGGAGTCCAAATTTGCCGAACTGATGAACAAGCATTTTGCTGCCACATCTATTCCAAAAGGCATCCACTGTCTGTCTCTGCGTTTAACGGATGAATATTCCTCTAATGTTCATGCACGAGTACAATTGCCATCTCCAGAGCTCCTTCCTCTGCTCTCAGACAACTCCTATCACCATTTTATTTTATCTACTGACAACGTTTTAGCTGCTTCCGTTGTTGTCGCTTCTGCAGTGCAGTCATCTTTAAAACCTGAGAAGATAGTCTTTCATGTCATCACTGACAAGAAAACTTACTCAGCGATGCACTCATGGTTTGCACTTAATCCTGTCTCCCCAGCTATTATCGAAGTAAAAGGTATTCACCAGTTTGACTGGTTAATGAAAGAAAACATTCCTGTGCTAGAAGCAGTTGAGAACAACAAGGGAGTAAGGACTTATTACCATGGAAATCATATTGCTGGAGCAAAGCTTGATGATACAACTCCAAGGATGTTTGCTTCGAAATTGCAATGGAAAAGTCCAAAATACATTTCCTTACTCAACCATCTGAGAATATATATACCAGAGGTAATCAGAGTGATTAAGTTTTCAATAAGGGGTTCTGGTGAAGGGTTGTACTTAAGTTTGCAAAACAAGGCACAATTGCTTAGTTTGCTTAGTTTTGACATACTATATAATTCACTGATCCTAGGGGGAAAAAGCAGGCGGATCCCTGCTTTTCTCATCATTCTTATCCCTCTTGCACTGGTTATCAGATGATGAAGCCATTCTTTACCTACTGCAGATCCTTTAGCAATAATCCATTGTTGTAGGTCTAGGAACGAGAATATATCAGGGTAAGGAGAATCGATAGTTTTGCTCGAGGAGAACCTCATTAAAGAATTCCTTCCACCTCTTCTATATCTTATATGTGTGTTTATCTTCTGGTGTACATTGTCCTTTGATATATCCTTTCTTGGACTTCTCATACTTCGCAATCAATTATATTGAGATTAGGATATTGATACATGTACCCAATTTTATGCAGTTATTTCATCTCCCAGGAGGGAGATCGAGGTAATATTTCATAGGGGTGTAAGTTAGGCCGATTTGCATTAGCATTCATGTTCCAAAGTATGGGATGGATATCACGTCTCTTTACTCTGTTCTCTTCATAATAGCTTGACTTGGGGATTAGGATTTGTCCTTCTAAATTTTGTTTGTCAAGAGTCTTTCTTCTGTTTATTTGCCTCATATAAGTATGCTGATTGAGTGATTTGACAGCTATTTCCAAACCTCGAGAAGGTGGTTTTCCTGGACGATGATGTTGTGATTCAGCGTGATTTATCTCCACTTTGGGAACTTGATCTTGGTGGAAAGGTTAATGGAGCTGTCGAAACTTGTAGGGGTGAAGATGACTGGGTTATGTCCAAGCACTTTAAAAATTACTTCAATTTCTCTAATCCACTAATAGCGAAACATTTGGACCCTGATGAATGTGCCTGGGCCTACGGCATGAATATATTTGATCTTCGTGCATGGAGAAAGACTGGTATAAGGGAAACTTATGAGTACTGGCTAAAAGAGGTACATTTTGCTGACTTTAAACCATCTGATGTTTTTTAGTTCCCCTGATAATCTAGATTCGGTTGCGCAGTGGTCAATGTTGTGATTATATATATTCACTGGCAGTCTGCTTAGAGAAGATAGGAATATGTCCTTCAAGTAGTGGTAAAGTTAATGATCCAATCTGGATATATCCGCATTGTTTTATATTAACCATTAAATTCCATCTGAATCTTATTTGAGGGAAGATATTTTGATGCTTGTGAAGAATTTGTTTCTCTGTTAACTAATTTATCTTACCCTTTAATTGCTAAATTCCTCCCATCTCCTAACAGTCCAGTGTGGTCGATGCGTCCTAAGTGTCTTAGCTTTTATGTGTACTGGAGGCTTATGAGACGACTTATCCCACTCTTTTGGGTATCTTACCGCAGAATCTGAAGTCAAATATGACAATGTGGAAATTGGGTACTCTTCCTCCTGCTTTGATTGCATTCAGAGGTCATCTTCGCCCAATCGACCCGTCATGGCACATGCTTGGCTTGGGGTATCAGATTAAGACCGACGTCGAGAGTGTCAAGAAGGCTGCAGTTATACATTATAATGGTCAGTCGAAACCCTGGCTGCAGATTGGCTTTGACCACCTGAGGCCATTTTGGAGCAAATACGTGAACCACTCCAACGATTTTGTAAGAAGCTGTCGGATATTGGAGTCATAGTTGCTCAGCTTGGAGAGCTTGTAGCAAGAAAATACACGGAAGGACGGATGATATGGTGAAGGGCCATATTGCCAAGGGCATTTGTTCGCATAATGCATTCATATTGCAAGCGGAATTTCTCGGAGTGTACTACCTCGCTCGTCAGATTTGATTCATCCGTTGCACTTTCGGCAGAGAAGAAGCCAGATAAACTGGGTCACAAACCCAATTTTCTCTGTACGACACCAGCAACAGAAAGGGTATGAGATCAATTGCAGGGCCACTCCCTTTTGGCTTCCAAATGCAGGGGTTCTCACTTCTAAACAGCACTTCATTTACTCGGCAATTTTTGTTACCATTTTTTTCCTCCCGATTTTCCCAATATTATTTGTAGATGTAATTGAATCGGACACTGCTACGATACCATTCGGTAGGAAGAAATTGTTTCTAGATAATTTTTTGTTTGTCACATTGTACTATAGAAGATATGGTTTATTTGTGCAGAAAATTCTTTTGCATGATAATTGATTTAAACTTTCGCACGATAAAGCCAATTTCTCTTAGTTGGAAATTCAATTTACCGAATATGCGCGCCTATATATGCATATAAATATATACATTTGTGTGTAGAAGGTGAAACTGGTGATGACAAAAGAAAACCCACTTGGAATCATAGGTGGTTTAAGCCTTTTTAAGCATAAATCAACAATTCTGGTCGCCACTTCATTTTAAGATTCCTTTTAAGCTAAGGTGGTTAAGAGATTTTTTTTTTAATTTTAAAGCCTCAGCAAACTCCTAAATGACAACACTAGAATGTCACTCATTGCATTTCAATAGTTTAATGGCGAATTCCCCCCATCTACCAGATTTCTCTTGTGGTGCTTCGATGAATACGATTCTCGTCAATTACTCAATTGCATGATTAGCATATGGGACTCGTGTCATCTAGTGCATGATCACATCTTACAATTTGATTCTTCCAAAGCCTTAAACAAAGGAACCGAATTAGAAAAAGCAATATCAGTTCGAGTTTTCTTTTTCCACATCCATCAACTTCTCCAAAGCAAAAAGAAGCCAACAGGAGAGGCCGCAGTGACCACATCCCAATCTTACCCACCTCGAACTTTGGCACTTTCGAATTCCACCACAAACTGAGCCATTAAGCTCCGTTAACAGAAGGAAAAAAAGAGTACTTGATGTGTGCATGATCTTCCACCAGTTTCTACACACGCCACCACCACCTTTGCTGATCTCATCTTTCTTGGTGTCTGTGCAGCGTCGTGTCTTTATCCCTCTTTCTTTGTGAACTCATTAATGAGGCTTAATTAGCATGGCGAGGAAAGATTAAAGAAAGAACAAGAAAGCCCTCCAAACTTCCCCCACCAAATTTAATATTTGATCATTTTGCTCTCGCGTGGGATCATATCCAGTTCTGACCCTTTTCACAGAAGGCCCTTATAATATTGCAATTCGAATTCTTTAACCTGACCCATAGAGATGGTCGAGACATCGAGATCACCAAAAAGAAAATTCACCCTTTTTACCCCATCCGGGTTAATGAGTCATTGAATGTTTCCCTTCATATGTCGAAATTTTCTAGTCCCATGAAAAGTCGGGAATTCATGTCGTGGCCACAAACCGAGGCCCCCACTTGTTGTTCCCGCAGAAAACCTACCAACCTACACACAAAAGCACCTCCGGTACCTCGCACTTTTCAACGCTTTGCGACGATATGATCAGCATATAGATGGTATGCGGGTATGCGGGTAATGCATAATTGAAACGGGTTGTCCATATATGTATATATATGACATGAGAGCTGGAATCTGTCGATTTCCATGGTATTAGGAGGGCTGAAGGAGAAGGCGAGGCAAAGGGAATGGATTGGTTGACCCGCAGACTCACGAGGCCTTGAAAGCTCCGGAACGGCCTCGTCCTAGGAGATTGCCTTTTGATCTTTTCCTCTCTTCTTTTTAATTGACTTTTATAAGCATCTCTCCAACCGCATCCATCGACAAAGCTCGTCCCGGTTTCTTCCGAATTCCGGCTTTGTTTTCCGCGTCAATTAGCTGTGCGGGGAACAAGAAGAGCCGCCACACCCCCCACCCAGATCAGCTGCTCTTAGAGGCAAAGTGAGTGTATTTTTTTTTTGTTTGGTCCTGAAACTTGTCAGCTTCTTTCGGCGTTCTTGAGTGTTTTTATAGGGGACCCAGAAGAATTTACGCGCTGATCTGTGGTTATTTTGGAGGATTCGATCTCGTTCGACTTCTGCTCACTTTGTGGGTGCTCCTTTCTTCTTTGGGTGTCACTGTAAATTGCCCTTGGTTTCATTTTTCTGTCTTGTGTGGTTGCGGGAAGACCAAGCTTTGTAAATCAATTTGCCAATTTTGTGCGGGATGAATCATGTCTGTGTGATTTGTTTTTTCTGCTGTCAGCTTCCGTTGGCAAGTGCATGTTCTTGAAATTGGGGGAGTGAGGACCAAAACCTTTCCCTTGATTTACAATTGCTGAACTTTTTTGGGATTTGCTCTGGATTGAGCACAAAGTGAAGATCTTGGCCATTTGGGTACTGAAAACCTGTGGGGTAGCTGAAAGATGAGTGGCGTGCAAGATCAGTTGGAGATCAAGTTTCGATTGACCGATGGGTCGGATATCGGCCCGAAAAGCTTTCCTGCTGCTACAAGTGTTGCCACTTTGAAGGAAAGTATTCTTGCTCAATGGCCAAAAGGTTACGATCTTATAGATTCGGGCACTCAATTATTGTTCAGCAGTGCCTTATTTATTTACCGATATCTGCATCATTCACCTTATTCTCCCTCTTCAATGTTCAATTTCTTCTTTTCCGTCTAATTTTTTATATTCGACGTAGGATGAAACTGAACAGTTCGAATAAGATAGACCAGGTTATGCATGGTTAGTGTTGGATGCTGAGGGGAAAAACGATACTGCCTGTTGTGCCGTATCTTTTTAGTGAAAAAGCTTCAATCTTTAAGAGAATCTGGAATTCAAATTTCGGAACCAATATAGTTCCACATGATGTGAATATCCTTGAAGCAGTTGGTTGTCTTTTGCTCGAAAGTTGATGGTGATCTTCTTTAAGAGTAGGCTCTTTGAAGAAACATCTCAAATCAAGCTTGAGCCTGGTAAAGGACACAAACTGGAGAACGCATCTCCTGATGGCGGACTGTTTTGAAGGTTTTAGCATGTCAAATGATGTTGCTCGGGGACAATGAACTGTTCATTGGAATTCCTCTTCAGTTAAAGAATCTTTTTCTAATTACTCTTGGGGAAAAGAATCAGGAAACTATCTAAAAGCAACACCGGGTTAATAAGCCTTGTGATTCTTACGCTGGGGATTGGGAAATGATGGCTCTTGCAAACGAAGGGGGAATATGTTCTGCATAATCAATGCTCTTTTTGAGAACATTCATGTCTCTGACTCTTGTGCAACTAAAATGTCTGATTTTTCTGCGTCTTACGTAGTGCATCACAACTCCACCCTTGTACGTTTGCTTGTCTAGCCAGTTCCTGTTTTTCATGAATGTCTTGATCTTGCTACCTAAGAGGTCCATTTACAAGTGAATTGATTGCTTTCCTTCTTATTAATTAGAGAAGGGCAATGGTCCAAGGACTATCAAAGATGTGAAGTTGATTAGTGCGGGAAAGATTTTAGAGAATAGCAGAACAGTCGGTGAGTGCCGGAGTCCCCTCGTCGACACTCCTGGTGGAGTTACCACTATGCACGTTGTTGTTCAAGCACCTATGGAAAAAGGTACAAACATTGTTTCCCTAAATTGTCCAAATCTCTCCCATTTAAAACTTCAACAATGAACTATACCGGTATCACAGTGCAAATTTCTTTTTCTGACCTGTTCTTTCCTCTTCTTGATTGGTGCCCTTATGTCATACGCATGGAATTTCGATTTGCTGTTAACATTCCACAGAAAAGAAGGAATTAAACCAACCACAGCAGAATAGGTGTGGTTGTGTCATATTATAGCTTGTGGATTCCGAGTGAAGACAGCATTATTACAGGTGCGTTGACGTAATTATTCTCGGTGCCAACAACTTTTGTTCTCGACCGAAATTGCCCTAAATATTCTGTCCGTGATATTATGCAGGAAAAGAGCGTCAAAGCTGGTACAGAGAATGGTTTTGAGAAATTGATGTTCAATGAGAGGGAGTCGGCACAATACACATTGTTATACAAGTCAATTTTCGTCACAGGTCTTTGGTTTCTTTATGCTGCCCTTGGGCCCTTCCATTGTATCATTTCGACATACCTTTTCTTTGTTTGTTTTTTCACCGATTGTTCGCTTTGTAGTTCATAAAAACTCGGTATTCAGCAATAATCTCATCTCTTCAGGTCGAATTTCTATATCGACTTCTGTTCTTGGTTCCCAGTTCCCCTTGCAACATACGATGACGACCACAGACTGTCGGGATCTTTCTATCTAGGAGGCATACTCCCAGCGCCAACATAGGATTTTCTCTAAGGTCGCTGCACATGCACTTAGCTCGCTTACAAATTTCATCAGTGATAATCAGTTAGTATCAAGAGATTTGTTGTTCATAACCAAAGAATGACTCTTAAATAACCCGTCCACGCCGTTTTAACAGTTTTCAGTTTTCTTTCCCCTCACGTGATCCCTGTATCATTGCACCCAGAATCTGAAGTGAAAATTGTCGAAAATCGGAAGTTCAGCGACTCGCACATCGGATAGTAGGCATTTGATGAATGTGTCATGAGCCTCCATCATTGCTACCGCTGCTGCTGCTGCTGCTGCTGCTGCTACTGCTACTGTTGTTGTTGGGGGATCCTCAATACCATTGCAGAGTCTCTGTGCAGATCTGTACTGGGTAGGCTTTGTTCCTTTCTTTTGATCTGATGGTCAATGGCAAAGATTCACGTTAAAAAATGATCTTTCTTAAGTGATTTGGATCGCGAAATCTCACTTTAGACCGTCATCGGTAAAGAAAGAAGACGATTTTTGTGTGGTTATTAACAACTTAAACTTTTAGAAATAATGATCGTATGCTCAAATTTTTGATATGAAGCTTCGAATTTAAATTCTTACAGTCAATTTCTTGTTCAACCACTTTAAGATGCGGAAGATTATGATGATATGGTTGTCCATAGCAAAGGGGACAGCGATTTGACCAGAAAGAAGACAGGTCGATACATAGGAATTGTTCAGGACGAGGTTGTATTGTTCTGTGGGGACTGTGCTGAGAGTCAAAACAACTGATTGAAAGGCCTTCTGGGTTTTTCTGGAAACGTTGCATTTGTTAATGGAGCCAGTCCTTTGAGCAACTCAGTAAGGGAGAGAAGTTATCTCCCCTCTCTTTTTCCATTTTTATTTTTGGTTTTTTAAGTGAGTGGGAATTGATTTTTGTATATGGAAGCAGCACAGATTAAGCAGATTATCCTGTGAAAGGAATGGTTTAACTGAGGTAAAATTCATTGAAACCGATACTTTCGTGTATTTAGGACTTTCTAAAACCGATAAATTTCATTTTTCGTTTTATTATGAAACAGGCTTAAAGTTTTTTTTGTTTTGGGTCAAAAAACAGGCTTAAAGTTAGAAAATAAAAAAAAAAGTAATGTCGAAAATCTACCATCCCCTATAATTTAACACCCGATAAAACGTGAAACAACTCTCTACTATCCCCATATTTTAACACCCGATAAAACATGAAGTAAGTGATGGTAACGTGAATTTACTGTTCAAGCGCTTATCGATTTCAAGATTAGCCAATCAGGGAAAAATCGACAACAAAATTAAGAAGGAAATCGCACATTCCTCTTAAAATTAATAATAAAGCAAATCTCTCATGTACCATTTATTTCTTTTTTGTCGAGTTTCAGTTTAAATTTTGCCAATTAAGCCGAAAAAATCAGAGAAAAACTCCAAATCACTCTTGCACTCCTCACTGCCATATCCATCCAAACAAACAGGGGATGGATGGATGGAAGGAAGGAAGGCTCTGCAATCTTCCAGCGGAAAAGGAATGAAAAAAGCTCCAGACCTTTCACGAAGCATCTCTTCCCCCCCTCCACAGTTCCCGAGAAGAGCTCGCCCATGAATTTCATAACATAAAGTCTCTCCCCACTGCCACTTTTCTCCTTCCTCAAGCAATCCTCTCTCTCTGTGTCTCTCTCTGTCCTCTGTGCTTCGGTTCTACTCCCCTGTCTCCTCTCCTCTCCTCTCCTCTCCTGCCGCAATGGCGTCGACCACCTCCTTCTCCGGGATCAGCCTCCGCCCTCCTCGGCCGCCGCCGCCCAGCAGCTCCTCCAATCGGGGCGCCGCGCTCGCGAGCCCGCGCTCCTCTCTCGGCTTCCCCTGCAGCTCGAGACCGGTCGGGAGGATTCGGCTGAAGAGGGAGACCGGCGGCGCCGGGAGGGTCGGCGGTCGGCGGGGCTCGCCGCCGTCCAGGTCGCTCGTCGTGCGGTGCGAAGCTTCCGGCGGACGGGTGATTGCCGATTCCTCCCTTGGATTTCTGGCGCTTCGTGTGTGCGCCTGTGTGTTCGTTTGTTGCTCTGTTCGGGGATTTGTTTACGCTTGTTCGGGTTGAAGCTAGTAGTATATTTTATGTTCGAGTGCGTTGGGATTTTACCTTGCCGCATTCCATTTTTCGCTCTGTCGTGTAGTGGCCATGAGCCCGCTATTCCTGAATGTCCCGGTGCGATTCTGTTGATTCAGTATTGACTTGAAACTCAGATATGCATTTTCAGTTAGCTGCTTTTTTTACTTGGGTTCCTCTTCATTTCTTTACATGTTTCTGTCATCACCTCTCTTGTGCCAATAGTTAGTTTCTCTGGGTTTACTTCGTCGGAGATTTTAGAATAGAAATTAGAAATTTCTCTCTCTTACCTTCTGACCTGTCTTTGGTCTGTTATGCTACTTAATGGATGATTGTGTATATGTAGCTTCTTGGGTGGTGTTTGAAATATGTGTGATCAGTTTTGTGCACTTGAACCCGATAAATTATTCATTTTGTAGTTGTATCAAATGACAGATCACACAGCAAGAATTTACAGAGATGGCCTGGCAAGGGATTGTTTCCTCACCAGATATTGCGAAAGAGAATAAACATCAGATAGTGGAGACTGAGCACTTGATGAAGGCTCTGTTGGAGCAAAAGAATGGGCTTGCCCGGCGGATCTTCTCCAAGGCTGCAGTTGACAATACCCGTCTTCTGGAGGCTACTGATAAGTTTATCCAACGGCAACCAAAGGTATCTTTATTGAATGGCAATGTCTTTATGAGCACCTCTTTTTCCGCTCAACGGGTGATTATAGTAAGATGCTGCTATTCAGTTTTATTAACCAGTTAAACATTTTCAGCATAGGTGTTGCCTCTTGAGAGCGAGTTCTTAATTGAATAGTAGAGGATTTAACATAACTTGATATTCTCAGCTATTAATGGAAACAGATAACGACTATTTGGCTTGTTTGATATGTATTTAATTAATAGCCATTTCTGTTTAAACTGCTGCAGGTTCTTGGCGAGTCAGCTGGTTCAATGTTAGGACGTGATTTAGAAGCCTTGATCAATCGGGCTAGGGAATTTAAGAAAGAGTTTGGGGATTCGTTTGTCTCTGTTGAGCACTTGGTTCTTGGTTTTGCAAAGGATCCCCGATTTGGAAAACAACTATTCAGGGATTTTCAAATAACTGAACAGAAGTTGAAATCTGCGGTAGAAGCAATAAGAGGACGACAATCTGTAATTGATCAAGGTGACTCTGAAACCCAATTTATGTGTTGATTTCCCTTCTTCATTGTGTGTGGAGGTAGTGGAGAAAGTCAGCATGTTTTTTTTTTTTTTATCTCGATATTCATCATCATTATTATTCTGGGGCCCTTTACGTCACATATATCATGTCTTGTAAAGAGGAAGTTGAAACTGCCTACTCTGTTCTTGTGGCATGTGTGTACTTTTTATTTGGGACAAGCAGAAGAGTGTGTGCTTTCAGTTTAATTGTAAACAAACTTGGGAACTTCTAAAACCTCGTCTCATGCAGCCATCTTTGGAATTTCTGTATATATTTCATCTTGTGTCTTCGGTGTGTATCTCATGCTGTGAGTTATTTATTGCAGATCCAGAGGGAAAGTATGAAGCTCTCGAAAAATATGGGAAGGATTTGACAGCTATGGCAAGAGCTGGAAAGCTTGATCCTGTCATAGGAAGAGATGATGAAATACGTAGGTGCATTCAAATTCTTTCTAGGAGAACAAAGAATAATCCTGTGCTAATTGGTGAGCCTGGCGTTGGGAAGACTGCAATATCAGAGGGGTAAGTACTTATAGAGATGCGGGATGTTTGTGAAGTAGCACTGAGCTGGGACTTTTGATCTACAGTAGGATTTAGCTAGGTAATTGGTTTCATTATTTGACAGAACTAACTCGTTGATTCTCTACTGCGTTGCCAAGTTTCTGCTCTTATAATTGTCTAAGTTAGTACCTGTCAACGAAGAAACTGCAATATAAGTTTTACAAAGCATGAGTATTTGCAGTCACCATTGAATTGCAATGGTGCTGTACCTTGGGGAGGCATGATTTGTTGAACGATTGTTGGAATTTGACGTGAAACTTTTGACAGACTTGCCCAGAGAATTGTGCAAGGTGATGTACCACAGGCTTTGATGGATCGTAAGGTGCGTATTCTACTTGATATTTTTTTGACAAAATTCCTGATGGATGTATGATCTCCTTGTGTTTATGCACATTGGTCGTAGAATTCTTGGGATATCGAATGGGCTGTGTGTATTCCTACTTGTTGCTACAATGATCATTGACCTTAACTTGAATTTTACAGCTTATATCCCTTGACATGGGTGCCCTGATAGCTGGAGCAAAATATCGAGGGGAATTTGAAGATAGGCTGAAAGCTGTACTGAAGGAAGTAACTGAATCTGAAGGGCAGATCATCCTCTTTATAGATGAGATTCATACAGTAGTTGGCGCAGGTAGTGTACTTGCCAGGCAGATGTCTGAAATTCCTGTTTTAAAATATATGCCACTGCACTGATACTGCTTGTGGTTCTAATTTGAAGCAGCAGTCCCGATTTCCTAGAGAATTCTTTGAAATTTCTAGTTCAATTTCTATCAGCGGCTAATGGCCAGCTCATTTTAGGATTTTGGGAGATGTTCTCTTCTTTTCTTAGAAAGCTCTTTTGTTTGACGTAATTTAGGTTATGAAGATTGTTATATAACTTTGTTGCAGGTGCTACAAATGGTGCAATGGATGCTGGCAACTTATTGAAGCCAATGCTTGGACGAGGGGAATTGCGCTGTATTGGTGCAACAACACTTGATGAGTACCGCAAATATATCGAGAAGGATCCAGCTTTGGAGCGCCGTTTCCAACAAGTCTATGTGGATCAACCTTCAGTCGAGGACACAATATCAATACTTCGGGGATTGCGTGAAAGATATGAGCTGCATCATGGAGTCCGAATCTCTGACAGTGCACTGGTAGAAGCAGCAATTCTTTCTGACCGATATATAAGTGGACGATTTTTACCTGACAAAGGTACATTTCGAACCATCTAATGAAGTATGAATATATTTCTTTTCACTATTAATCTGCTTCATGCTGATTACATGTCTGGTTCATCAGAAGGCTGCCAGGACTATAGTTCCCTTCACAGTAGAAAGTGCATTTTCTCAACTGATAGGATCTTACAAATTCTGATTGGAGCATTATTCTAAATTGGAGCTCTGAGAATAAGTAACATGTAGATTTATAGGTGATGGTACTATTCCATGAAGAACCATCAGATATGTCCTGCTGGGAAGTGGGCAACATATAGTTCTTCTAGCTGGCTGCACTGACCCCTGCTTCCTTTATCTTATCTTTCTGGCTGCATCCATATTTCATATAGATTGCTCATTTTAACACTCAAAGCTCATTCTCCAAATGAAAAACACAACATACTGATGTCTTCCGCATAATCGGCAACATATAGTTCTAACTGGCTGTATTGGCCCCTTCTTCTCTCTCTCTCTCTCTCTCTCTCTCTCTCTCTCTCTCTCTCTCTCTCTCTCTCTCTCTCTCTCTCTCTTTTGGGTTTTTTACAAATTTGGAATAGGTGATTCTTACAGAAAACGAGTGTCATTGAGGAACGAAAGCATTGTAGAGGACGGTCTGGCTGAGCTCTAAAAGAGAGAATCTATTAAAAGTTCTATTTTAGTAAAATATTTGTTTGGTTGAAGTAGTGTTATGTGAGGTTATTATTGGCTGGCTTTGAATCGTAGTCATTTGAAGGAATTCTGAAGGAAGATTGAAAACATAATGTCCTCGCAATTTCAGCTATTGATCTAGTGGATGAAGCGGCTGCTAAGCTTAAGATGGAAATTACTTCAAAACCAACTGCTCTTGATGAGATCAATCGATCAGTCTTGAAACTGGAGATGGAGAAGCTGTCACTAGCAAATGATACAGACAGGGCTTCAAAAGATAGGTTCAGCCGCCTTGAGGCAGAGTTATCTCTATTGAAGGAAAGACAAGCTCAGCTTACTGAGCAATGGGAGCATGAAAAGTCTGTCATGACGCGAATACAGTCCATCAAAGAGGAGGTATGGCATTTTTTCCCTCTTAATTTGTCGATTTGATGAAAATAATTTTCTTCGGAGGGTTCCGTGAGTCACTAAGGGGATTGATATTGATAAATCTTCTTCTAATGTTTTTACATTTCAAAGTTTGCATCCTCAATGCTGAGTTTGGATTTCCATCAGATGGGAAATTGTCATTGAAACTAATCTTATTCGTTAAGATGTGATATTGTTAGATATTGCAACTTACGTGCTAGGAAATTGAATTGTCTTCTTATTTTTATGCAGATTGACAGAGTAAATCTCGAAATCCAGCAAGCTGAGCGGGAGTATGACCTTAATCGTGCTGCTGAATTGAAGTATGGGAGCCTAATTTCATTGCAGCACCAACTTGAAGGTGCAGAAAAAGAGCTAGATGAGTACATGCGATCTGGAAAATCTATGCTTAGAGAAGAAGTAACAGGAAGTGATATTGCTGAAATTGTTAGTAAATGGACTGGCATCCCGGTCTCCAAGCTGCAGCAGTCAGAGAAGGAGAAGTTATTACATCTTGAAGAAGAATTGCATAAGCGTGTTGTGGGTCAAGATCCTGCAGTGAGATCAGTCGCAGAAGCGATCCAGCGGTCTCGAGCAGGATTGTCAGATCCTCACCGACCTATCGCTAGTTTTATGTTCATGGGTCCTACAGGTGTTGGGAAAACAGAGTTGGCAAAGGCCCTTGCTGCTTATTTGTTCAACACTGAGGAAGCGCTGGTACGAATTGATATGAGTGAGTATATGGAGAAGCATGCAGTTTCAAGATTAATAGGTGCTCCACCAGGTTATGTAGGGTATGAGGAAGGAGGTCAATTGACAGAAACGGTTCGCAGGAGGCCTTATGCTGTCATTCTTTTCGATGAGATAGAGAAAGCTCACTCTGATGTGTTTAACGTATTTCTTCAGATATTAGATGATGGGAGGGTGACTGATTCACAGGGTCGGACTGTGAGCTTCACTAACACGGTCATAATTATGACTTCCAATGTGGGTTCACAGTACATTCTAAATACTGATGATGATACTTTACCCAAGGAAACTGCTTATGAGACCATCAAACAGAGGGTAATGGATGCTGCAAGGTCTATCTTTCGCCCGGAGTTTATGAACCGGGTCGATGAATATATTGTTTTCCAGCCTCTGGAACGTGAGCAGATTAATAGCATTGTGAGATTACAGGTATGTAGTTCGTGGTTTATATCTGTAGCATTCTCCATTTTATTTTCTTCAAGAAAAAAACAAGTTCCTATGGTTCACTACAAGGTTATGCTGTTTGTCCCTATTGTCTCGCTTTAGAAATCTGACAACATGCTTAGGTTGTTTGCTAGGACCATGCTTTTGTCCTCAGCTGTCTTGGCTCTCATTTTCAATTTCCTAATATCTAGTCTGTAGAGAAAAGGTCTTCTGACTTGCGTGATAAGATGTGATGGAGTTACTGATAAATTCTGGGGCTTCTCATCCTTAAAGAACTTTAAAAATAGTATCAAGATGTATTGTTTACAGCAAATTTAATAATGAACATCTGAAGAACTCAGAGAGTACATATATGCAATGTCCTATACCATTCTCGATGCAGCGTGTTGGCTTCAGATGGTATTGTAATCATAACTTATTCTCATGCTTATTCATGTTTTGTTGACAGTTGGAGCGTGTACAGAAGAGAATCGCAGATCGAAAAATAAAACTAGTAGTGACGGATGGAGCTATCCAGCTGCTTGGGAATCTTGGCTATGATCCAAACTACGGCGCGAGGCCGGTCAAGCGGGTGATTCAGCAGCACGTCGAAAACGAACTTGCCAAGGGCATCTTGAGGGGGGACTTCAAGGACGAAGACACCGTCGTAATAGACACAGAAGTTACAGCATTTGCCAATGGTCAACTTCCTCAGCAAAAGTTGGTGTTTAGGAAACAGGACGGAGACTTGGATATGGCCGCTACAGGAGACCGAGAAGCCTTCTCGCCTCCTGTCTGACTGTTTTGAAGTAATCTATCTCCCCCCTGTTTAAGGTTCCGGATCAGTTCTTATACAGCAACATATATAGGTTTCACACCTTTCCTTTTTCTTTTCTGCGGGAAGGACCAGGCGCAATGCCAGTGAACCTTTTGTAACCAATACATGCTCCACATGTCGGGGTGTATAATGCGAGATAATAATTCAAGAGTACACATAGAGAAGGCACATGATATTCACTCTTTAAAGATTCGGGTTTCAGACCGGTTTGATTGGGGAGCCACGTCCTGGTTTCTTTCGCAGTCGCGTGTCCGACGAAATACTGTGTATTCCATATCTATCGTTGCCTCGCCTTTATGCTTGGGAACTAGTTTTTCCACCAGGAACTTGGGGCATGCACCAAGTGCTTAGTGAGGGCCGATGCATTGTAAAGAACAATATGAAGAGGATGCATGAGAATAATGAGGGATGTTGAAACCTATTCGGAACCTATCTGGTGAATGATTGATAAACAGGTAGAGAGAATTTGGGATGGCATCTTCACATTTCACTGTGGCTATGGACTTTATAAGAACTACCCCCCGTTTGCATCGTAGCCTAGCATCAAAACTACACTATATAGATTTAACAAAACTACAAAAGTGATGAAATCTAATGCCACGTAATTGCTAAAAAAAGTGAAACCTCACTTGTTGGACATTGCATTAATATAAGTATTTTTTTATTGGTCGAAGCATTAATATAGGTATTGAAAAGGTTGATTGTGAATTGACAAATTTCTGCTCGCTTCATTCACTTCAACTTCATCGTAGAACCACCCATGTATCTTCCATACATAGTCAATCAATTTCAAGAATGCCTAAAAGCTACTTATTAGTCATTTTGAGAAAATTGGTCATTTGGTTAAATTTAAGGGATAACGACGTAAATGGTTTCTGAACTTTGGCATAATGTGCAATGTGGTTCATGAATTTTTAATTTGTTCATTGTGATCTTTAAACTTTACCTCAATATACAATGTAATCCATGAACTTTTGATACATATTCAATTTAGTTCTTGAGCTATATGAAATTATTCAATGTTGTCCTTCCATTAATTTAAGTTCAGAAGAACAATATTGAATATTTTCATTAAGTCTATGAACTAAAATGAATATGTACCAAAAGTTCATATATCATATTTAACAGATTAAAAATTTAGGGATGATATTACACATTAAGCTAAAGTCCAGATATCATATTAAATTAATTAAAAATTCACGGATCACGTTGCGAAATGGTCAAATTCTAGAAATCATTTGTGTGATTTTTCCTAAATTTAAAGTGTCTAAGAGGGTGCTTAGCAGAAGTGGAGTTCCCTTCTCTCTCTTGGCGCGTGAGCGTTTAAGCAGATGGCTCCACTGATGATGGCTGACGTTCCGTCGTCATAGTCGGCGTTACAGTATCAGAGGACCGCAGTGAGAAGAAAAGAAAAAGAAAAAGGAGCTGTCTTTCTGATCATCCATCGAAGGAGTTCAAATGGGTCGGTGACAGTGTGAATCGTTGCTCGTCTCTTTGTTGAGAATCCGAAATTTTTTCTCGTCCTCTTCTTGTTACTGGGTCGATCAAGAACTTGTCCTGATCTTGTTGTCGTCGCAGCTGGCGAAAATGGAGGAGGAGGAGGAGGAGAATGGAAACAAGGGGAGGTGAAAGAGGGGGTGGCCTCAATAGCCCTCCTTCCGTGCGGCTCCATCTCGGGCCACTTCATCCACCTCCCCCATTCCATCTGCTATGGCCTCCACGGCACTGGTTGGTACCCACCTCTCTCTGTGTCTGGTGTTCTTGTTTCTCTTTTGTGTTATCGCATTACGTGTTGAGAGTTGCTGTGGCCAAGCTTTTTTTCATGGGCAGAGTTGGCGTGCGAAAGGGAATGCAGCAGGGGAGAGGACTACCGCCTGATCAAACTCTCCATCACGGACTTCAAAGTAGGGGAAAATTTGTTCTGCTTTTCGTGCTCACGTTGTCCCAGAGACATTGTGGTTTCGACCCTTTTTCCGGATAGACTTGCCTCAGCACTAATTTTATGTTGACAGACCAAACAAGAAGGGACTGTTGTGGTGGAGTGCAAAGGCCATGATGCTGCTCGGTTTCATAGCATAGATCATGCTCACGGGTGAGCGTCCCTCAAGAAATTTGTCTGGACTTCTTGGGTGCTTCAGAGAGGCACTTTTGTTCCATTTCAATAGTAACCTCCGCGTACTGGCTTTCCTATCGGTTCTTGCTCTGGGATGGTGCTTCTCTGATTTATAGTTTAAGAGAAGCGTTCACTACCTCCGCTGAATTTATAACACGAGACGGTTTCTTGGGACGGAACTTGTTGGTTTGACTGGAGCCTTTTCTAGTGCAGTTTTTTGCTTCTCATATGGTTCGGATGTTGTTGCTATTGATGTTATTTGTGAATTCAAGCTTGTCGATAACCTCCCCACGGCTTGTTGAGCAGTTGGGAAGAGGACGTGGCAGGGCTACTGGAGCAAAAACATCAAAAGAGCAAGATTGTGGTCTCTTTTGAGTGTGAGACCCTGAAAGCTGAGGAAGCAGCCGAGGACCATATCAAGAAGTTTATGCCAAAATTAAAAGGACTCGATGCTGTTGGTAACCGTTCTTGCTTACGTACTTTTGCAGCTATTTAAGTGGTTCATTGTTATCCTTGTCGACACCAGTACAGTGAAGGAAATATTAGTTCTGTATCGTTTAGTTTCCCAGCTGCATGACTCGTCTCATTCTGGAGAAGACATACCACAAGAACTTACTCTGGTATTAAATTACTAATACTGTGGATTATCGCTTGGAGCTGAATGCTGGTTATCTTTATCCCTATAAAATAAGAGAGACGCGCTCTAACTTCAATCTACTTTTGTTTGGGCGCAAGAGTGGACTGTCCATTATAAGTTGTAATGGCGTCTTAGATTTTTGAACTTCTTCTTAAGCAGTGGCATCTTCAAATGAGACATCCCCCCTCTTTACGTGTATCCTAGATCAATGATCTTCGATTTTGCGTCTTCCGTCATATCGCTAAGGGTTAACCATGCTCTGATTGATCATGATCGCCAACTACTATAATATTAGCTTAATATCATGAACAACAGAAATGTTTCTTGTGACTTTTAAACTTCTTGTTTTCTTCCATCAAGCTTTTTGCTGCAGTCTGGTTATCAATGGTAATAGCTCCTTATATCAAACTTGGAATGTTCCTGAATTGCAGGTTATTGTTCTCGGCTTAAGGTAAATCACTTATCCTTTATTTGTACTGCAGTTAACATCGGGCGAATGAGGATTGCAGGGTTGGACTTTGATGCAGAAAAAGCAGACTTGGAGCAGAATCTGTGATATTCATGGCGCACATATTTTTGGCTGAAACTTCAAGCTTCCTTTGTCATAGATAAGAGCATGCTTTATCTGATGATATGTTTTGTGATTATCTAGATAATTCGTCCAATCCTTACATGTTTACAGTCAGTATGCCCTTGATTATTCTGGTGAGAGAGTGTGATACTTGCACATGTGAGTAATCAAAGCTTGGTCATTAGCCACTCGGGTTCAATTTAGTCGTTATATAGCTCGAAGCTATTTGATATAAGAATACTTTTATTATACTGGTTTCCATCCTGGAGGTGGTTTGCAAGACATAAGTCATTGGAATACAAGTATTTAAACAGGTGCTGATTTCCAATCTATATGACCTTTTAAACGATTGAGTTCAAGCTCAGTGGCACCAGTACTTGATTTAACGGCAAAGCTAATGTAGGCAGATCATCAGATCAACTTCAAGCAGACCTAACTTTCACCCGGTTGTAACTTGGAGGACTATACACGTTAATTGTAATTGGATTTCTATTTTTAAGTGTAAGTGTGCATAGGGTGAATTACATTGTTGTAAGTAACCCAAAAGGAAAATTATATTGAGTAACAGCATCATCTCCTTATGAGGATGAATTAAACAAGAAAAGGAAAGGTAGAAAACCAACTTCAGATCAAAAGCTCACTCTGAGGCTCAGAGCATGGAAACATAAATCTGCACATTGGAGGAAGAAGAAGATGCAGAGCACTAAAGATGAAGAAATGGTGTGCAACTAAAGCCAGTACTTCAAAGATCCAGAGCAAAGCCAAATGAATGCAACTAAATGAATTTACACCTCAAGGTTACCATTTATGGTACCGGCTGTTAAACTAACTGCATTTCCATTACACGGAAATATCACAGTAAAGAACACAAAAAAGACTTAAACCCAACCCAAGCACTCTGTTGTATGATTTGCAGCATCATTGTTGATCTAAGTAAATCTCATGTCTTTCATTCTCTGTTATTGGACTTACTTCGTTGCCAAACTCTGCAATGATCTCTGCACATACCTTTCAATTGCCTACTTCACCAAGTCTTTTGGTTCTTGAAGGGAGATCACTGTTTCAAAAGCGCCAACCAAAGCCTTCACCTTACTCTTCCGGGTCTTAACCAGTTGACTAGCTGTTTCTTCAATCATATTGTTGAACAGTCTCCGGCCTTCTTTCTCCTTTCGGACATCTTGATGTTTCAAGGTGATTTTTATGGAACTCGGTGTGCTGCTATGCTTGCCACCCTCAGTTTCCTCTCTTCTCTTGAAGGTTCTCCTTCTGGCATCAGCCTTCGGATTTTGGTTCTCTCCAAAAGCTCTTCCTCGTCTAATCTTTAGCTTCCTTGGACTACTGCTTCCAGCTTGAGTGCCAACCACCACTTTGCCATTCCTCAAGCTAAGATTCACAGCTTTACATGTTTCATTTTTCGCGGAATTTGTCCTATCTTGTGTTGGCCTCTGAGAAGTCCCTGCTCGTACTGAACTCTCAGATTCACCATGACCAAAATCAGAGCAGCCTTCTCCTTTATCGTCTGTATAATCAGAAGACTCATGGAATTCTTCTTCATGTGATTTTGGAGTTGGACATTTTGGGAGGGATAGATGCTGGGGCAGTAACAAGGATTGATCTGGAGACATGTTAACAGCGCTTCCATTTTGGTCATCCACAGCAAAAGTGGTAGTTGTAGAAGTAAATTCTGAAGGTATGTGCTCAGTCTCCTTGTTAATGACATGAAGGGTCTTCTCCTGGACCGCCACTTCTTTGGTGATTTGTACGACTTCAGCATTCTTGCTGCTATTTTGATTTTTTTTCTGATTCTTCAGAGGGAACATAACTTTACTGGCTATGGCCTTTCTTGGTCTCATGCTTGGAGATCGAGAAGAAAATTCTAGGGAATTAGAAGTAGTCGAGGATACTGACAGATTCATTGCTGCTACTTTGGAGGTCCTAGTGTCCCTGCTTGTCGTGATGCTATTCTTTTTTCTGTGGCTTGATTCTCCCGATGAGTCAGCCAATGACACTGGCTTGGCTCCTAAGGGTTCCATTTTCGTCTTCATTGACCTTGAGTATGTTTCTGATGAGAACATCGCTGAGGCTCCCGGAGAAAATTGTTTTTTTCCAGTTGATGCCATGCCCGGTTTCACTTTTTTACACAGATCGGAGAATTGGGTTTTTGAGCTGCGTGAAGATTTCAACTCAACCTCTGATTTCTTCTTCCCTTTTGCCATGAACTTAACCCCAGCATGGTCAGGGGCCGGTCCTTCTTGTTTGCCCACATTAGCTGTATCAGAAGTTTGGCTTTCCAAATCTGATGGAACCTCGAGGTTAATTGTCGGTTTTCGCGCTGAACCTGGCTCAACTGCATCCTCTGCCAAAAGCAGTTCGTCGGGCAGCTTCCTGGTCGTCTTCCCCCGCATCGGATTTCTTGGCTTTGTTTTGAATATCTGTGTCCCTCCATATTTGCAGTACTCATGGCATGATCGCCCTGGAGCCCTGAGATGGTGTGGGGTTCTTCCACTTTTCGAAGACCTCGGTTTTCCTGCAGAATTTCCTTCATCTGTCTTGATTGTTCCCGAGGTCGCGGGGGACTTTATGTCCTCCTCAGCCATTTAATGAGGAGAAAATATACAATATGAAATGTATATGAACCCTGCAAAACAAGATTTCTTTAATAATAGAGAAAAGTTAAAAACTCTCTGCAAATAGTGGAGGCTTAAGTTATTGAACAAACTCCCAAGACATCGTTGAAGCGAAACATTGGAGCTAAGACTATAATCACGAGCTCCAGAAGCAGACATCAGTTGAGAGAAGATGATAATACAAGAATCGATTGAAGAATAACTGCAGGATATGCAATTTTAGTAAACGTTATACGAGGAAAGGCAACAGAGTCATTCCATAATTTGACATTGCAGTTGGAGATACGGTTTGTTTTACAGTACAACAGAAGAAAGACGTGTCAAAAACTTAAAATTCCCGATCTTAAAATTGCCTTGTTTTAAGTCTGTTTTGAGATGCAATCTCGTGTGTTCGTCGCGCTGTTTACATTTAGAGATGATTTAATTGCCTCATTCTATTCGTCAAACTGCAAAAGGAGTTTCACTTTATGCAAGAGTATAAGAAATGTGAAAGGAAGAAATACATACCAATCTATAATAGCGTATTGGTTTTAGATCCTCTATCAAGGTCGAACAGAATAAAAAACTGTCCTAAGGCACACTATACCGAATGTCAATCGGAACACGGCAAGGCAAATCAGTTGACTACGACTCTCGTGAAACAGGGTATTCTTATTGGGACGATATGCTACAGCTTCTGTGAAACCCAATTACCGTGCCGCTTTCTACGCATGGTGTATCTATCTACTGATCAGAACAACCTCCATTTCATATGAATTATCAATGGACATTGATTTACACCCAAGAGAAGGGTAACTTAAGGGATGCTCTGAAAGAATCAGTGAGTACCTTCACATAACAAATCAAAGCTCACGCCCTCAAAACCCATCAATAGCTGAATAACCTACAAAACATCAGCTGATACAGCCAAGCTTCATCAAGAATAGAGGAACATAGCAATGAGAAGTTACTGCATACGTAGTGCTCCCAATTACTACGAGGACAATCGGCGTTGTGAAATCCCAACCGGACCAGCCGTCAACTGGGCACTGACCCCGGCTGATCCTGGTTTTGGCGGGTTAAACCAGCTCACCACCGCTACCACTTAAGAATCCAGTTCAACCTCTACCACTTATTATAGGCCCATCTTCGATTCAAGAAAGTGATAGCAAACGTACCTTTAAACTTGCGTGTGCAAAGACTTCTTAACGACGAAGCAAAGTTGATATGAAGCACAAAGGATATTGTCTGAGTTCCACCTTTTGTGTATAGATTTCATGTATGAGAGAGAGAGGAATACGAGTTCTTGGCCATCGATAGATCGTGCGGGCAAGTCTTTTGTGGCTTTAATAAGTGGAGGCGGGCTTTTTGGCGTGCGTAATGGGCAAGTGCATTTGTTGAAGGATTCCGTGCCAGATTGCCTTGTTTATCTATTTTCTCTTCTTGGACAGCATTTAATTCTCTGGATTTGTTAACCCAAACATGAAGTTGGACTCAAAAATCGTAATCCAAAGGTAATCTTTATCGGGAAATATATCAAAAACAGTCATTACTTAGCCTTAGGGAAAATGTTCGCGAAGAGAATGTGTCGTCAGTATGCAAAAGACTGGCATGCGCAGAATAGCATCTTATCCGGAATAAGATAATCTCACACTTTTTAGAAGAACTGCTCATATTTTTTTGTTTATCCGTTTTCCGAGTCAAAATTCAGACAGAAGGCCGACTTTCGAGTATATGCACAGAGCCGAATAAATTTTAAGCAATAACTTTCCAATGCGTCGACAGTATGCAAAATACCGGCATGCGCAGAATTGTATTTTATCCGGAATAAGATAATCTCACGCCTGTTAGAAGAACTGCTCATATTTTTGTGTTTATCCGTTTTCCGAGTCCAAATTCAGACAGAAGGCTGACTTTCGAGTATATGCACAGAGCCGAATAAAAGCAGCAACTTTCGAACTATAGCATTGATCTTGTATCATATAAGAATGCTAAACAAGAAGTTCCTGCTAAGTACATTTCCTCTTTCATTTTCTGAGTAGATGGCATGAAAATTATCCTATCAACTCCAAATTATCCAGGGTTTTAACAAATCTTCATTTGCTGACGATAGCAGTTCACATATAAGGTTATGTTTGTAATGGCCGTTTCCTCCCTGAGACGGTCTTCTTCACAACTCCGACAGAGACCAAAAACTGGTCGAGGGATGACAGGGTCTTCATGTCATCCGGAGGGAAGTAACTAGCGGCCTTGCCCAAGAGTAATGTGAACAGAAGAGACAGTGATGGTCGAGTCACGTATCGCTCGCCCAACAGATCATCTAGAAATGCAAATGCTGCAAAGAAATCGGATCTGCTGGCATTTATTGGCGCAGCAAAATGAGCAGGAATTATTCTCTTGAATCTCCAGTCCCGTGCAATACTGTCAATCCAATCTCTAACCTGAAATTTAAGAAAAATAAATTAATTAATTAACATAATCACACCACAAGGTTCTGTGAAACGGTTTCTACACTTTTCAATAGGCTTTATCCAAACATATCCATAGGTCCTATACTAGACCGGCTACGGCATAATCAGTACACTTTACTTTGGCATACAGTAAGGAGAAAGCACAAATTCTAACAAAGAGGAAAGTTACATAGTCAATGGTTATTTTTACCTTTTCAGGGACCTTGCTGAAGACTAGTGTCTTCACAATGGGAGAAACAATCAGCTTCTGTGACATCTGAGAAAAGCTGGCATTCGGTTCCAAAAGATTGGATGGGCCAAGAAACAAAATTTGGAGGACCATTCTTTCCCACCCTGCAGATTTTTTTGGCATTGCCTCATTTTCTTTGTGGTTCTAGTAAAACAACCTCAATCTGCACCTACAAAATCTCTTGATATTTCATGAAGGCGAATAAATTGAGACAGAGAATGATCTAACCTTTCTGACGGTTCATGTTATTGTCGACAACAGGCTCCTCCGGCACTTCCTTCCCCTTACTCAGGATCTTCACTGCCAATCCGTTCTTTGCAGATGCTAACAAGGAGTCTTTGCTAATACAATCCGGTGGCTTTCTAGGGACGAATATTACAGCATCAGTTACAAGTAAAGTTCTCGTGCGCTTGTGGTAAAAAGCTACCTCAACATACGGCCCAATTCCTGTAATCAGTACAAAAAAGAAAATTAGTTCCTGCCGGAACCCTTCAAAGTGATGGTAGGAATATCATTTGTGATGAATATTACCAACTTCTGGTGAGCTCAAGACCTTCTGCTCAATCTCGTCGGCCCACGGGGTTGATAAATCCTCGTCTTTCAATGTTTTAGCACGAAATATTCCAAAAAACTCTAGGGGCAAATTGAGTGGCCAACTCCACTGCCTTGGTGCTACCCATACTCTGGCCTTTGGGAATTTCCTTGAAAACGGGCCAACAAAAATTTTATGCTCGTATGCGAATGTAGGCAGGACAATACACTCAACCGGCGCCCCTAATTCCTTCACAAGCTGGCAACAGAAAAGGAAATATGCTGTCAGAAGTTGCATTTATATCATAAATAACCACGAATGCCATAGAGGCAAGAAATCAAGGTTAGAACAGCTTGTGAATGGGGGTGCAGCAACTAGATCCCCTGCAAAAAGTTAAACTTCAGTGAACTTAAAGATGATAGATGGAGGCGGTTTTCTTTACACAATCCAGAGTTCATTTTTCTTGGGCCAATCTGCATTTTTCCATAATTCCAAAAGCATAAGAATAATTCAAAATTCCTCAGAGAATTAATACAGAAAGGAGATGTCACCATGCAGTATTGAAGGAAGAGATCTTTGAAGAGTTCTGTTCTTAATGTCCTCAGTGTTCTTAGATGCTACATTAAATGTTCTTTGGACATGTAAAAGGGTTTTCGCATGTTTTAAGAACTTGACATGTGTAAAATTTCTGAACTTTCCTTTCTTTCAATTGCTTTACATAAACTTACAATATGTATTTGGCTTGATTGCTGCCCGAAGTCACTAGTTAACAGTCATCATGCTATGTAAGATTGATCAATGGAGACACGTTTCTTATCAATAACACTCATTTTCAGTCAGAAACAACAATATCAGGATTGAAGGGAGAGGAAGAGTGGCATTCGTTATCATGCCCTTAGGAAAAAATACATCTCATCCAGGTTTTTTTCCCCTCTTACGAAACAGACCACTTTTAAAAGTCTGAGGTCTCCATAGAGAGAGACAGAAATGGGAGGAGTCTGAACATATGGTTTCACAAACAAAGTAAATGAATAAGTAGGGATCGAAATTTAACCTCAATACACTCCTTTGTCGGAGCAATGGGTGCATGGACCCATAATCCTCCAGATTTGAGCTTAATAACTGTCATCCGGATATTCGTAGAGACACTGCTAAAGCCCAATGCTTGCTCTTGTTCAAATAGCCATATGCATCCTTTCACCGCCTGGGCACAAGTGATTATTAGTAAATGAGAATCAGCAAGAAAACAGCAACAATCCCATCAAACTAGCCAATGTTGCATTCCACAGCGATTAAAAAATCTTCATCAACTGTGCGGTGCTGTTTCTACTTCTTTAACATCCAGAGAGAAGGATAGCAATTTCCAGCAACTACGGCAATCATGGAGGATTTTGCGATGGGGCAAACAGCACCTATCAGTATGAATCTCATGGAGGTTGTGCTGTTTCATTAGTTATAAAGTGAATGAATTTCCACAGGCTGTTGTTCCCTTGCTTTTCATTATTGGCCTTGTGAACATACATAATTCAACACTACGATCCGTAATGGAAGACAAACTAATGCCAAATAATTTGCTTCACTGTGCATTCCTCTGTTTGTTTCTTCGAATTCCCCGACCAGAACTATTTTGCCCACTTGGACTCTTTATTTCAACTAACTCCAAGGACAGTTTTTTTTAACCGCTTTTTATTTTTCAACTAATTCCAAGGACAGTGTGGAAGGGAAAAAATGATTGAACAACTGAAGAACTAATATCCCAATGACTGTGCAATCTGCTCAGGGGCTTTATATCATCTAATTTCCACAATTCACTAGTAGGAAAACATTGGGGGCTAGTATGAGTAGCAAGCTAATAAATATCCCAAATTAAATGGAGGATCACAGAAAAGCCAACCTCGGTCCTAATGGTGCGCCTGTTGAGGAAAGGGCCAAGAGGGAAAGGAAACCCTGTGATGTTCAGATAAAACCTCCCACCGCCGCCGCCGCCAGTCGAGGCAGCCTCAGCTGCAGCACTGGCCGAAGCAACCACCAAACCGGGGACATTCTTGCCGTCTTTTCTCGGCTTTAGCTGCAAGGAGACACCCTTCAACGACCCACCGAGAAAGCTCGAGCTTTGTTCCTTGAGACAGCTTGAATTCTGAAAAGGAGTGAATTTTGGACAAGAAACAGCCATGGTCGCCACCATATTTTCATGCAATAGTAGCGTTCGTTGGGCTTTAGTTTTGTTTGCGCCAAAAAATGAGCGGGCAGAGGAAGAGATTTTATTGTGGGGTGCATCCTATTGCAGGTCCCGATTGGTGTACGAAATTTCCAGGCTCTGCTTTTGACACGTGGAGGATCTGAATTGCTTTGTCCGATCCTAACCTGGATCTTCCAAGGGTTTATTGTGGACGTTAAAATAAAATAAAAAGAGAGAACACAAGGAATTTAGAAGCAAACAGAACTATCCAGAATTAATGCAACCGAGGAACATTTCCACAAAATGGACAACACCATCTTCTTGTTCTACTGGCCAAGTTGCATTGTTGCATAGGTTCCATCTAACAGACCCAAGGCAATGGAAAGTAACCCAGATCAAGTTCGAAAGATTGAGTCGTAACCGTGTCTTGCATTGACACTTACTGTCGAATCCGATATTCTGGCAACGGCTTTAGATTTGCTGACCCAGAGAAGGTCTTACTGGTCTTTTCACTTGTTCGGACTCAAGACGTGCCACGACCATGAACTTTAGTTGGAGGAGTCAACATCGTTCACCACATCAATAGGCAAATTCAAAATCGACTTGGATGACTTCAGTTAGTTTTTACGTGCCCCTCTCACACTCACGCTGAAAGTTCACTTATAGTAAAAGCTGCCGGATCGGTGCAGCACGGATGTCACTTTAAATGGCTTTTCATCTTCCTTACTTGAGAATATTATTCGCTCAAAAGGCACATTCTGAATGCTGCCGGAGACTTTCAAGCTCAGTACAGTTTCTACACAAACTTGAAAATGCATATCCGGGACCCTCCTGCATAAAGCTTCCAATCACTACCCAATTCAACATTTGTTCGGCATAATTCACATTCACTGTCTGGATGCCGTTTTGTTTTTCTGGAAATGATCATCTTTACATCAGCAGCAATCAATCTCAAAGTCAAAACAATGAACAGTTGGAAATCTCTCATCATCACTGGAAACAGAAAGAAAGACCTGACTTGACTTCATGACAATCCACTGGTTAAAAAGAAATTGCAGAGATGAAATGTTCCTTTACAATGCCACAAACCATATTCGCCAGTATAATCGAACAAATATTTCACTTTTAACATTGATCTCCATACAAACTCGCAGATTTTCAAATCAACTAAACCCCACTAAACAGAGTTCCTACCATATTCTATAAGAGCCCCGCCACATTAAGAAGACATAGCAACCTCTGGTAGCAAACTGCTGGGGAGTTCCAATACAGGTACAGTTGCCCATCATTCTCTGGATAAGATAGTCCTAACACAGATTTATTACAAGTAGCTCTGAGGATGAAGAACCAGCACAAAAACGTGGTCGTCAAATCACACTGCTGATGAGTTGCAGAAAAGACATGACAAAATTTAATCACCTGACCCAGGAGCCGAGTTGATGATAAGGGAGATAATGAGATCATGGACTTACGGAAAATGAGCAGCCGAGAATGCCATGGAAGGTGAGATTTCGACAAATTTATAGATGTATGAGCGTATTTTTCACAGATGGAAGCTAATATTCACACTGAAATAGGCAAAAGCAACTGCCCTCTTAAGTGATGATCTCTCTCACAAGCCAGTCCAAGCTAGGATATGCAAAATACAAGATGAGAAAGGAAGGGAGAGCGAAAAGAACCGTGATGAGCATGTACAAAGCCAAGATGGCTGCACTGGCCGGTATTGCATATAGCACAATGAGGAGGAATATGACAACTAGAGGGAACTTTGCCGTCAGATGAACAAAGAAAACCAGAGATTTCCGCAAGGAAGAATGAATTGTTTCCATATTAAGAGAGACATTCACGCGATTTTGATCATGACTTGATCCAGCTGACTCAGTACGGTGGACATGTTGCACCCTCCTCAAGTTGCCCCTGCTCACTCGACTTCCCAAAGATGGATTACTGTTTGATGACCACTGTGGCTGATGATCTTCACACAAGGAGGAGCACAATTTCCCTCGGTCACCATTCATGCTCTCGACCATCCAGAGCAAGAAATAGTTCTTTCGGGGGAACTTAAGGTTGCCCTTATAAACTAGACGGAAGGACAAGAGATTGCACCATGGACAGGAGATGAAGAGCGGAAGCTGAATTGGTAGAGTAGGAAACTTCACAACGGCCCATTGCAATCCTAAAATACAATTTTTGCAAAGGGTATGACCGCACCACAAGACATAAGGGACATTTTCAACTATATTAAAGGATTCCCAGCATATAGGGCACTCCAGACCTTCCTCTCTGCTAGTAATGGAAGAGACCTCATCGTCTGAGCATTCTGATGCAGCTTGAGTCGATTTTCGATGCTCGCTTTTCGAACCAACATTTCCAGCAATAAAGTTGGGTCCAAAGTTCCACATTCTACAGAAGTTGTGAGGCCAAAAGGCTTCACAAGCGACACTATCAGAAGAAGTTAAAGAAACTGATGCACTAGGTAGGCATCACGGAAAATTAGCCCTGCCTGGGTTGATCGTGCTCGCCAGAGCAACTAGCTATGACCACCTCGCCTGAAAATAATAGATGAAGAAAGATGAAATACATGCTTGGCGAGCATTGGTGAAACAATAACCTATATATACTGCCTACATAATCGACATGTTCTCTCATATGATAAATAAAAATGTATGAAGTACATGAAAATAGGATGTACCATTTTGCCCAAGTAAGCCACTAAGAAGTAAGAAACCATTTAGAAAGAAACTGCTCAAGCCAAACAAAAGAAACCATTTAGAAAGAAACTGCTCAAGCCAAACAAAGACCAAATAAGCACAAGGATGTGTAACAGGCGACGTAAGACTGTAAAAGTGGGAAAATAACCGGCAAGCACATATAGACAAATAACAAACAAGCTGTCGTGCGATTCATAACTATCTCATTTTCTCCAGGACATTCATGCAAGGAATTATGTGCGTATAAAAAAGACAAGTAATCTAAAGATAAAGGCAGACACAAACACAATAAAACAAAACAACATCACGTGATCAAGAGTGCATAGCATGGAGGTTCTATACATGATGAACAATTAAAATCTCTTGATTTAGCGAATCACTTGAACTTCTCAAACGATTCGACTTATCAATTACCGCGCCCAAGATAACCATATGCAACACAGAGCACAAAAAGTGAGGAACCTATCGTCGAGCACTCATATTTTTCCCCAAATCTATAGCACACTAAGCCCAATCAGCAAACACAATCAACCAACGCCCGACAGAAACCTAGCCCCCAGTACAAGCATAGAGAAAACTCTGCAACCCGAGTTCAAGGAGATACCGATCAAGCCCGATAAAACTCCAGGTTTCCCAATTCCTGTAAAGGAGAACCAAACCAAAAGACCTAGCCTCTAACCCGAAAAACCAAAAGCAAACAAACAAAAGAGAAAAGGAACGAGCTCACTCGACAAGCAAATTCATAATGGGTGCTAAGAAATAGGACTACCCAACACAGCAAGCGATCTACCCAGAAGACCCCAGATCTCCAGAAGACAGCTTCGACGGCACACTCTTGAAAATGCACGAACCGACGGCGCGAGGCACCAAAATACGTCTCTATATCTCCAATCTCCTCGGCACCGAGGAGCGTAACTCTACCGACTACAAATCTCAGTCCCCGTCAGCTAAGAAATTTTCGTATCTCAACGAACACAAGAAAATAACAAACAAAAAGGCAGCGAAAGACGACAACCTAACATTCAACCGACAGAGACCGTCGTCAAGAAACCAACATATATATTGAAAAAAAAACCAGGAATTGAAGAAGAACCAATTGAAAACCCCCGGGGGAGGTGAAGAAATTTGCAGGGAGAACGGAGATGGGAGCGCGGCGGCGGCGTTACCTCGTCAGCCAGCTCGAGCAAGACGGCGGTGTGGGAGAGAGAGAGAGAGAGAGAGAGAGGAGATCGAGATCGGTGGACGCACGCACGCACGTGACGAGATGCGGAGCGAGAGAAGACGGTGCGAGAGGCAGGAGCAAGCGCAGCGTGCCCAACGTGCGGCCACGATGCGTCGGCTAGGGGGCGCATCGAATCCGACGTCGTGGAGCCGTCCCCGTTCCTCGGGGCCTTCCCTTAGCGACACGTCACCGCCTGCCGACAATCTTCTATATATATAGCAATTGAACTGAACTGCGTGTCTGATACGAGAAAAGCTGAATCGACAGATCACCAAAAATGTCAGGGGCCAAATGAGATCGGACAAGCAAAGAAGAAGCACGTCAATTAACGTCGCTCCCGACATCTTGTACGAGCGCATCCGCGCCTCTCGATGCGAAATGCTATAGACAGGAGCGATTGCCCATGGCCAAATTATTCTTTTGAGGCGTTTCTTAAATAAAAAATATATATATATTTTTTTTTTTAATTTTACGGTGCAAAGCCAGCCGGTAAAAAAAGTGAATTGCCTCTCGTATTGCTATCGGAATAAGCACGCAAGTCGCACGCGGCATATATTTGACGGGCTAATGAGTTCGAGCATTATTTGAGACTATATTAATAATTTTAAATTTTGTTTAAGATGAAATTCACTTTGGAATCACTACATATCCTTATTTGAAAATTGTACTTAAAGGTCAAAACAAGAGAAAGGAACAACCCCTAGAAATTCCTGAGAATTTTTATTCTCAACCAAATCACGACTCTTGCTCTGTACAGATTTCTTTTTTTGGGGGGTTGGTTAAAAGGAGGCTGGCTAAAAATAGAAAATTAAGCACCAGGGAGCTGATGCTTGTGGAAAAGAAAATTTCGATTATTTCACGTAATTCCAAGTTTTTCCTTTTTTCCTCGAGTGTAGTAGACTCGCAAGCACAATGCATTCCATCAGCGAGATCCCGAAGTGAGGGGCTCGGAGCAGGAATACACCAGTACAAGCAGAGATCTGGGAAGTGTCTGCTGTGTTGTGAAATGCACCCATCAAAATGCAGATTGAAAGAGAGACTACAGCCCTGACTCCAAGCATTTGTGCAGTCCATCCAATATGTAGCAATCACGGCAGCGTTTGTGTAGATTCACCGCTATTCTGGAAGGCTTCTCGAAGGCCGGAGGTTCTCGACACAGAATGGGAAAAAGCAACCGTAAGCACAGATAACATTAGAAAAGAACACATCTCTAAGAAATTCAAGGCAAGATCTTGATCCCAATCTCCACAAGAAACCAAGGAGCATGAAGCAGAGACAAAATTCCGATGAGAGGCTTAATCAATACAGAAATATGTGCACTGTTTGGCAAATGATTTCGAACATTATACCATCTGAGCAAAGCACTGATGGTCTGTGTAGAAAGGTCTGATGGAACTGGAAATTAGATCCAAACAAATGGGAATGAGTAGCTCTTATTGGAAAAATTGGATTTGACAACAAAGCTGTGGCCACCAGCAACTGATAGCAAAGCAAGAAACATCAAAGCTCCTTTTTTGTCATTCAAGCGCTGACAGAACTTGATTGACAAGCATAAACAAACATGAGATCTCAAAAGAGGTCGTTGACGGGCTCCCGCAAAAACCTCTCCATCTGCTTCGCCCTGGTCACTATAGACATATCAAAGACCTTCATGTCGAATTCCACCACGAGCCCACCAAGAATACTGGGATCAATCTGCCAGATTCAAGCAACTCCAATTAATTCCCATTTTAAAGGACACAACACACTGAAAAAGGGATAAAATACAAATTCACTGCGCACCTTCTGCTCAAGCTGTACTTTCTTCCCTTTTCCAATTACATCTTGCAGTGTCTCCTTCAGCTCTTTCTCCTCTTCAGCGGGCAACGGCTGGAAGGAAATGAAAATGCCTTAAGAAACATAGAAATCAGTTTCAACTACACAGCAGTCCACAGCTTTGAAGCACCAAAATACTCCAACTTCCACATAACTTAGACTATGCAAAGCAGTTTGCTAGGCGAAGTCACGAGTAGATGAAGTACAGGGCACATATCCAAATATAATCTAAAGACAAACGCAACTCTTACATCTGAGAATCCTTAAAACTGTCAATGCTACCAACTACATGGAATCTTTTTCCTTACAAATTGCAAGTGGAGGCAATTGAACTAAAGGAAAGTGAAGGAACTCACAGGAATTATAAATCAAAAACTTATGAAATCAAAGGCTGTTTCATCTTCAAAAGTGATACAAGCTGTTGTTGAGGCAAAATGAATTGCAGCACAAAAGTTCTATGTAAGCTACCATTACAGCTGACTGCCATGCAACCACAATCGCTTCCTCACTTTACTCTATTCTACATTTTAACCAATCAAGGCATGTCTCCATACTACACTTATATGATTGATTAATTTTCAAATTATAAAATTAAAATTAGAATTTGGCCGATATTTTGAATGAGCTCGTCTAGATAAACATTTCCACAGTTCTGCCTAATCTGTGACAGCAGTGTTGCATTACTTGAAGCAGGGATTATATCATACAACATTTCACAGTAAGCTTAAAAGAAAACAAAAGAAGGAAGACTTGTGCTGCTTCAAATTATGGAACCCAAATAAATAGTACCACATATTCACACGCATCTGAGAGTACATCTAACTAAATTACATACGATGACAGTCGTCACAATGGCCTTCACTTCTCCTCTGTGTGCCATGGTCAGCTCTCTGAACTTCTTAATAATGTCAACTAGGTATCTCAGCCTCCCATTCTCAGCCAGCAAAACTAGAAAAGACAATTGAGCATAGTTACAGTCGGCATGGCAAAGAGATGCAGTGAAGGGAAAGAAAGTGACCCCATTACCAAGGGGCTCAAACTATGAAGGCAATCAATCAAATAGTTAAGGCAGAAGCCCATATGGAACCTTGCAACGACGGTAGCTTTGCCAAAATGGAGGAAAAGCAACAGGGACAATATTGAAAGGGGGTCATCATAACAAGAGCACTAACAATGCATAGCACTATAATCCATTGCAGAGATGACTAGCAAGAAAATGCCTAAGCCATAAAAACAACAACATCAAGTTGACCACAACACGCAGCAGTAATGAAATTAAGCCAGAAGCCCATATGGAATCCATCAAGTAGTTAAGGCAGAAGCCCATATTGAATCTCGCAAAGGTAACTTCGCAGAAATGGAGGAAAAGCAACAGAGAAAATATTGAAAGGGGGTCATCATAAGAAGAGCATGAACAATGCACGGACGCTATAATCCATTGCAGAGATGACTAGCAAGCAAATGCCTAAACCATCAAAACAACGACATCAAGTTGACCACAACACGCAGCAGCAATGAAATTAAGCCAGCCAAAGACAATAACTACAATCAAAAGCCTACCAAAGGGGTACCAAGACACAGCTAGAAGGCACTGTACAGTCCAGCCATGTGGAGTATATGGTAAGTGATTGATGTTAATAAATGAATAATATCCTATCAAGTATACAAATGCCAGGGACAACCGGAGACGGCAAATGAGCTCAGAAAGGCAGCATCTTCAACCTACATAAGTCACACCAGGCTTTTTTAAGGAAAAATGAGGTCATGGATACAAACCAATACACCGCTAAAGATCTTGCAAAAAATGAATGCTCTACTAAACATGGATCAGCCATATCAAGGACCACGCACTGGTATATAACATACCACTAGTAAGAGGTGTCACTGAATATGAAATGACAACAGTAGAACTATAAGGTTTTCAAGAGGTGGTTCATGCAGCAACTTGTCACCAACTACAACAAGAGAAAGTAAAAGGCGGATAACAACAATGAGCCACCCTAGCAAACAAGTGGAATAATACTCCAAGGAACTTTCAAAACATGATTGCAAGCTAAGAGCTATAACCAAGCACCAATTGGTTACATATATATAAAGCATAAAAGCACTAGCAACAGAACAAACAAAGAAATTGCAGTACATATTTGAGACACATAAGCTCCACCAATTACTTCCTACTGAAAATTTGGGGGGGATGCTACTAGTCTGACAGAAAGGAAAAATGACGCAAAACCAAAGTGTCAGTTTCTCCAAATATACAGATGAATGCAGAATGAGCTCAAGAAATATTTCTTGTTACGATGCAGAATTCGCTATTAAATGGACCAAGAGAAGTGTATAAAGCGAGATACAATGTAAGCCGACTACTGTTCTCAATCATAGAGGCAATAAAAAAAAACAACAGTTATTAGTAATCACATCTAACAAGGTAGAGCAGAATCTCATACCCAAAAAGTTCTTTGTGACTTCCGAAAATTTAGCTTCATCGCAGATAGCATTAACAGCCTTCACTCTAATGTCTGCAGGAACAGTTAAGTCCTTCATAAACTGTGAAAAAGTAGAACTCCTTTCTGAGGCCTCCACCAGGTCAACAAATTCAGACTCGACCTTATCCAAGGCATTAGCCTTCACTGCAGATAGGTATAGAGCAGAAGCATAGTTTCCTGAACCACCATACAAGACAAGAGGCACCTGCATTGCCACACAGGCAGAAGAAGACCAAGTTAAATCACTCTATTCTCAATTTCCCAATCTTTTACAGACCTCAATAGCTTCCTTACCTTACATAATCAGGGAAGAGTTGTCTACATAGTGAAAACTCAATTGTTTGCACCGTAACATATCTCGAGTTTACATTGACTAAAACAGAGTTCAATGAGAATGGTAGCTTTGACTAGGATATTAAAGCCATCGAGCATTTACATAGCGAATGCAGATTGAGGGAGCATTCAATGAGAACATTCCAATCCCAGGTAAGAAAATTTCCTACAGAAGAGGAGGATGTCTCCTTCCAAGCATATGAAAGAGAAAACAGCGTTTCCTACAACAGACTGTCCCTTAAAATAAAAAAAAGGATTTTTCTTAAGAGCATCGTGAACAATTTAGTTACCTTGACTTTGTCGCCCTTCTTTACCAAATCAGTAGAATAATCCCTCGAAACCTGCAAGAAGCCAATGTCAAACAGCATATGAAAAATGAAATGGACATATATGCTTTTCAAAGTT